TTGAAAATTTATTGCTTTTTCTTTTTCTTTTTTTATTTATGGAAACTGCCCCCTACCCTAGCCCCCGCTGCGTACAGTCATGATTCAGTGACAAAGCAATGGCCTCGTAACTGTGAGGCCCCAGGATCAAACTGTATTCCAACTATATGAGCGACAGTGTATGTAATACCGTACAATTTTTTTTATTTTGAAAGGAGAATATTTTGTGAACAATTGTTATAGTGAAGGTAAAGAATCTCAGAAAACCGCTCCCCGAAGTCACGATTTTGGAAAAAATTCTTCTCGTTGCTCTAAATCGAAATTAAAAAAAGTATAATGCTTAAAATATACCATTGAGAAAAGATATATGTAGGGTCGCTAAAACATAGTTTTGTATTATTACATATAAATTTGCTCGAGACTGTTATAATATCGTTCATATCCTCAAACTACTCTGGATACATATGAGCTGAGAAACCCTTCTGTTCAGAAATCGAAACTTACTAAACCATATATACTATACTACATCATAGTCTGGGGAAAAGGGTTTTGATAACGTCGGCCGATATGTGCAAATATAGAGCCGTTCAAAAAAGACTTACAGTACACATCATCATATTTGCATATTGTTCATACAAATATTTGAGTAGAATTTGAACTATACATTAAATCCAAATACTTCCATTTTTAAAAGCAAACACTTTACCCTCCCTCAGTGATCGTGCTACAAGCTTGTGATCTACGTCGATCATGTGTTAGAGGGGGGGGGGGGGTCAGTTACAGTATGTTTACTATTGGCCTTGAAAGAAGAAATGTGTAATACTTAAAGGGACAAAACCTCGGTCCTTTTCAATTTATACACAGTTAATTTCCTATTCAGAAGTATCTTGATCGCGAGAGAAATGCTTGTTAAATGTGAGATGTCTGTTTGCTTGCTGCTAGCGTCGGTGATTCGGGGGTGTTCTCATTTATATTTGTTTAAATTTTAACAGGGTATTCATGGGAATGATTATACTTCTTGTCCAGGTGCTACACTGTCTCGCATTAAATATAAACATCGTAAACATTGCAAATCATAAGTCCGTGATCATCACAGACTGGGTTTTGAACCAGTGTATTACAATCGGTAGAGATTTGTTTAAATATCCCTTAGGACTTACTACTGATGTAGGTTATGCAATCAAAAAGGGTAGGGGACGCACCACTTTAAATTATAATTGGTAAACCAGTAGCCCCTACAAGAATATCAGGAAAATAGCAAAATTAGTCAAAATATCAGTTCAACGTGTTGTTATCACCTTAAATAGCTCTGTAGTATTAAAAAATGCAAAATACATGTAATATTATGAAGGAAAATTACAGACTGCAAATTTTTTTTTATTCGCTTATATTTTCTTCTAAAGGTGTCCCGCGAGTATATTATGATTTTTAAATTATCAAGAAATTGTGCATTTTTAATGTTATTGGTAATAAATATCCTATTTGTGATATTGAAGGAATGTTTCTATCTTGAGTCAATTTAGCTGATTCTAGTGAATGCAAAGCCTCAACCAATCTTTCAACAATATTTTTTCCAACAATTTTTGGTTTTCAAGAATTGATTTATCACGGTTACAATTATTTGTACTTCTTTTCTAGTAAAGAACCCTGATCAGACAATAATATTCGATTAAGCATAATATAGTCGTATTCGAGTGGCTTAAAAACATGACTGTTTTGGAAAGACATTAATCTGCAATTGGCACTCTTCTACCCGTTGTTCTATGGGTACTGGTAGAAAGGAATTCCTTGTAAGCTGTGAGCACCGAAATTATTCATTGTACAGGAGCGCACAAATAGCCTTGGTTGGCTTGGTGGATCTGTGCACGCGCTATATTGAAATACACAATATTACCAAAATCATATTTATCGTTCGTATTTGACATGTAGTTTTCCCAAAGGGGCATTCCCTCATATGCCTTGCTTCTTAATAGGACATCGATTGATTTAGATTTTCATTATTCTACAGTTATGTTATTGTTTAAGTGATTGCATAAAGTACAAATAACTTACTTGATTGATGGTTTGAAATCCAAAATGCATGTGGAAAATGAAAATGAGTATAGACTTACAGTTAACAACTGCATTATTCATACCCCGTGTAATTTTCTTTTCTTCTTCATAACTCAAAAATGAAAGGTGGATTGGTTGAATTAGGGTCTTTGTTATATCCTTTTTATGTAAGTTTTAATTACAATACTCGTGGACGAGATTCTTTTCATTTTTGGCCAGTATAGACAAATATATATTTGAAATCTGTAAGAAACGATTCTCCTCTTATTTGAAACTCTATTCCTCCCGAAATATCCTCATGCGAGTCTTTAAAATTATTTTAAAAGAAACTTGAAGCAGCATCTTACATCTAAATATCATTGATTATTTTACCAATATTCATATTCAAAATATACAACATTACCTATAACTGTTTTCAAACTAATGATTTTTTAATGATTATTTCCATTTGTATTACCTGCCATGAATGATTTCCCTATCATGTTTTGGCATGTATGTTTCTTTTTAGTTTTGTTTGTATATGTAAATCTGTTAACTATTGTTAGGGGAACTGTGCCTCCTCAAGGCCATTTGGCCTTATTTTTTAGTTTCCTTTTTTTTTAATTTTCTTATTTATTGCAAAGGCTTATATCTTGTATTGTTTTTACTGAAAATGTAAATGAATGAAACGAATGGAATTGAATGTGTCACATTAAACATAGTTCGGACAAATCAATTATTTTCCTTCCTTAAAAATATGGCAAAACTTGGTATAGGTTTGAATAATTAAAAAAAAAAATCTCTCTTGGTGTGTTCTAGGTGAGGTTGTTCATATCACAGTGCTGACCGTGGGTTACACCAGTGTAGATACATCTAGCAATTCGCAATATCAATGTTACCCCAGTGACCCAGATACAGACGCTACACTATCATTTGGTCGATCAGCACCCATAACAACAGACAGATCAGCACCAGACGATCTGCCACACCTGTTTCCATTCGTCAGACGGGTCATATTCCCCACAGGAGATGGATGGGATAGAGATGGTTTCGGTCCTTTCTACTGTGAGGCTTCTAAATCTGATCGAGATGTTACAAGGGTTACTACATTTTTCCAACGTAGTGATGGTAAGATAGTTATTCCATTCATTATATCAATTTTAGAATTCCCTTATTTTTAAAGATTTCTTCTTCAATTGTAGACTATATATATATGATGCACTGTAGCAACAGAGATAGGACATCTTTGGCGATGAAATTCAATGTTAGGCTTATATCGCAAAACGGTTCACCGAGGATCAGGAGCGAGAGTGATTCAATAAAATTGCCCCGCTTATGACGATTTCACACTTGTTAAAGATTAACTCTTGTGAATGGCTATATTACAAAGACTTGGTATTTCACACGTATAATTACAATGAATCATGAGATTCTAGGGAAGGATACTGTTAATAAGTTTTAGACTTAAATAGCACAGAATTGATATCATATGAAAAGCATGCGCGGTATGGAGTTGAGTCTGAAACAAACCCACTTGTGTTGATGCTGTTTATGCAGTGCATTCAAATGTTCAAGGAAAGTCCAAATGGATCGTTACATGCAACATACTATATGCCATGGTATACTCTTGGATGTATATCAACGGTGAAATAAATGAATGCAAAGTCCTATAAAAGCATACAGTTTAATAAATATAGCTACACTGCACGTGACCTGTATAGGCACCATAATAATACATTACAGTTAACTTTGTTTTTTATTTGTTTAACTATCATCCCTTTTAACAGCTAAATTCATATCAAGTGATGACTGTTTACAAAGACAGTCAATGTAAATGACACTGGGGTGATGATCAGCATGACTAGTCGTTCTAATCCTGATGCGAGTGACAATGTGATTACTTGGATGAAAGATGGAAGTGAGGTTCTTACGTCATTTGATGGGCAGACTCGAATCAGCTTCCCAAACCCAATCCAGACATCAGACCAAGGAATCTATGAGATCTTCTATAATAACGAGAGGGATCAAAATAGAGGGGGATTATACAGACTCATCGTCCGAGGTACATGTACAAGTGTATTCGTCACATTGTTTGTTATGATGCATGTAAAGGTATTGCTTCATATTTTGCTAAGGAATCTTTATTTTAGATTCATTGGACTAACATGTAAGATGTATTTAGATGATGATGTTTACATAGGCCTATTCATAAATATTGAATTACAGATCCAAAAAATGAATGTGTACATTTCTGACAAGTGTTATTCTAGAGTATTCTTGTAGATTATGTCCAAGTCTGACCTTTTAGGCTAGGCAAATTTAATACCGTAAAATGGACAGCCTATTCCCCTTTGTAAATCTAATTTCAAAAGATGTATATGAAACTTCAAATCATGAAATTCAGGTGCTGTGCTCGAGTGGTTAAGTCACCGGACTGTCGATAACAAGGTCTGCGGTTCGAGACCCCCGGCTGCACTAATGTCATTTGGCAAGATATTGATCTACATTTGCCACACTCAACCCACTTATGTTAATGGGTACCTGGCAGAAATTAATTCTTTGAAATGCTAGAGCGCGTGTAATGGCAGCACAGCTAAAGCCGGGATAATAATCTCCAAGTTTGGAAGCCCTTAGTGATTGGAATAAGCGCTATATAAAAACTGAATATTATTATTATTATTATTATTATTATTATTATTATCATTATAATCTATGGTGTGATTTGTACGGAGGCCAGTTCAAAATTACCTGTAAATATCTTTAGAATGTAACAGATCCAATGACATACAGTATAGTTCTACGTTCGAGAACTTTATTGTTTAACTTTCAATTGTCTAACTTTCAATTGTCTACTTCAATTTTGTTTTACTCTGCGTATCTCCTATCTATTTAAAAAAAAATAATAATCTTTAGTGACATGTACTTTACATCTTTCTGTTTAACTCTCCCTATCTCATATTAGAATGCCCTGCTGGTAAGTGGGGTCCCCTGAGTGTTATGGTATCTGTGATAAATGCTACAATGGTGGAGTCTGTGATGACAAGTCTGGTCTATGTATCTGTCCTAACAACTTCAAGGCACCGAATTGTTTAGAAAGTAAGTAGGCCTGTAGAACTTCATGTGGAATGATATTTATTTTTTTATCTTAATAGATGAATTGAGGAAGATATTTCTTGACTTATTCCATTGTAAATGAACAGAGCAATGTACATCTATGTTCATTTCAAATATTCTTCTACCTGCCGAGGAGATAGAGAAATCTGAAGAGTATTATACGTCTTCTTCAAATTTAATATATTTCCTTTATAGCGTCATCTGACCAGAAATCGTTTTCAAGAATAATGTAAGTCTACCATCTATGCTTCTGTTTTTAACGTATTATCTCTCGTGTATTATGAACAGTCTGTTAAATAACGTAAAATGACTAAGTTTGTAAATACTTTGTAAAGTGACCCTCAAATACATCAATACGAAATACGAATGAAAAATTATATACAGCATGGGAAAAGATTGACTTTTGTTTCTTATTCTTAACACCATATGAATGTCTAAATAACGCCTGAATAAATGTTTCAATAACATTAATTTTATGATCGACGAACTTTGCTATCCATGAAATGGAAGGGCTTTATTCATTGTAGTAAAAACTGTTATGTTTAAAGAGCATTAGACACCATCAGTAATTGCAAATGAGATTACAGGAAAGCAACCAAACATATTTGAAATTTATCTCATGAAATCTTATTTCATATTCTAATCCATAAGGTTTTGATTCAACATTGCAACTATTTCTTTTTCAGTTTGTAGAGATGATGGTGGAAATAACTTTGGATTGAACTGCGAGTTTCGTTGTTCATTCCGCAATGCTGCCACACAATGTCATGGGTTTCTCTTTTGCCTTCCTTATCCTTATGGATGTTCATGTGACGTCGGTGCCCATGGTCTTTCATGTAACACACGTAAGGCTTCCGATATATTATTGTGCTCAAATTATAATAGTGAAAACTCATGTATCTAGAAGGCCTAAAAGTTTTCATACATGTACATCTACAATTCTCCGAAAATTTAATTTTTTCTCGGAATATCAAAAGCACATGATGATAATGCTAGATTCATGATTGGGGTCAGGCGCTACTCAATGGAAAAGAGAAGAATAAGAAGAAGGAGAAGAAGAAGAAGGAGAAGAAGAAGGAGGAGAAGAAGAAGGAGGAGAAGAAGAAGGAGGAGAAGAAGAAGAAGGAGGAGAAGAAGAAGGAGAAGAAGAAGGAGGAGAAGAAGAAGGAGAAGAACAAGGAGGAGAAGAAGGAGAAGACGTAAGAGGAGGAGGAGGAGATGGAGGAGAGAAGAAGATAAGAAGAGGAGAAATTAATCAGAGTAAATTATTGTAACATGCACAACATTTCTTTCTGATGAATGTATCGTATCTGGCCATCCTGATTTTGTATTTTGAATTCCTTTACAGTATGTACTATGGGTACATATGGTCCAGGATGTTCACAGACATGTCACTGTGGTTCATTATGTGATATCTACAGCGGAATATGTACAGGTGGATGTCAGACTGGCTGGACTGGGGATAACTGTCAAAGTAAGTCGTGGTCAGCATTGATAACATATAATATGACATAAATGCTTTCCCCAAATTATACATGTCCATGCAGCTTTGTAAGTTTTGTAATTTTGTTATGTTTTAACCCCATTGCCTACAGGACCCGGTTGGCTCCTGTATTTTACTTTTTTGTGGAATTACATAATTCAGTAGTCAATGGATAAACTTGAAGATATTACTTTTTTAATTTTTGTAGATAAACCCACTCTTAAGCTGTGTTTTGGGGACAACACCTCCCGTATATTCCGGGTACATTCCATTTCCATTAGAAGTTATATTAGTAGAAGTAGTAGTAGTAGTAGTAGTAGTAGCAGACGACTGGACGACTTCGGCGCGATAGCTCAGTCGGTACAGCAGTGGTCTCGTAATCTGGTGACCCGGGTTCGAAACCAAAGCAATGCGCTAGTGCCCTTTGATAAGGCATTAATCCTCATTGCCAGGTCCCTCGGAGAGGATCTACAGCCGTCGGCCGTCTGGTTGCTTACCTACAAGCCCATAAAAAGGTCCCACTTTTTAATAGTTGTATTGTTTGAAGTATGAATATCTAATCATGGGTTTCATGATATGTCTTGATACAGTTATCCTCCCCGTACATTTAGGTACCATTTTCATTTGAATCTCTGCAAACAATACAACTTTTAAAAAGTGGGACATTTTTTTTTACTCACTCTGTACTTGCAAAGAAAATACATTTATAATGACAACAATTTATATTTTTGAACTCCATCTAGTATTATTTGCAAGTGCTTGCTGAATTGTTGTTTGAAATTTCTTCTTATCATCCCAGTTCCAGATGAATGTGAAGACGGTTACTATGGATCTCAATGCACTGATAAATGTCATTGCTTGAATGATGACCCATGTGGTAAAGATACTGGGGAGTGCCTTGAGCAGAAGTGTGCTCTAGGATACAAAGTACGCAGTGGCCAGGTCAGCTGTCAAGGTAAAATGTTATTTTTCAATACAGCGTGTTTAATTTTCCATATCAATTCCTATTAATTTCTCTCAAGACTCCATACATGTACATCAAGTATGGTCCAGTGTGCACACCGTGATTGTTTTATGTACAAAGATTCTAGTATTCAAATATTGACTGCTTTGAGGGGCAAAGTTGAAACTCTATTGCCCATAAACTGTACTTTGCCCTTGAACACACTTGAGTTGATTAAATTATGACCCCCAAATTAGAAGTCATTCTTTGTTATACGAAACCTATGCACCTGCGCGTTCATGCTTGATTTTGACGGCCAGAATCAGGCATCTGTTACGCGTTTAGTTTAAAACACGCTTGCGTTCATGCTCACTTTTGTAGAATCACCGAAAAACGGCGATCACGATCGCCGATCGTAAACTCACAAAAAGATGCGTTTACAATTTGTAAACGCGTTTAAATGGGGTCAACGCACTGACCTCTAGTGGGTCTACGTAGCATGCTCAGTGAAGGTTTGCAAATCCAGCTGGAAGACCAATTAAGGCCACACACGGAGAATTGCCTGGGGAGCCAGAGAAGTAAGCATGAACACTACATCGTGGAACTGCGATCACGATGAGCGTTTACGATGAGCGTTTCAGATCGCTCATTCTGCCTTCAAAATTTAAGCATGAACGCAGCCTAATTCTACACTTAACCAAGTTCTTGTCTTCTACCCTTGACGCAACAGTGAACTGACTCTAACCCTAAACCTAAAATGCAATTGCAACCCGAGCCCTAACCCATACAATTGCTGAAATACAGCTCAGAATAATTGTCCTAGGAACAAACGTCTGGTCTCCGTAGAATAGCATTACACAACAATCCTCCGTAGTAAGAGCTGCACTAGTTGTGAAAAGTTATTGTCTGAAATGAAGAGTTGCGGCCAGCATGGTGAGCTGTTAGAGTGGTAATCAAGATAACAGCAGATCTAGAGGTGGTCCCTGAACAGCAGGCTTCAACATATTTCTAGTAGTACTGGATCTTTACTACTTATCAGCAATCTGCTGATCAACGATGACAAGACAGAGTTCCTCATTATTGGCACGCGTCAGAGGCCGAAGATCAACATCCCCCACATCAGGACCGGCAATACTGACATCTTCCTTGCATCTCGTGTCCAGAACTTGGGTTGCAATTTGATTGGAACATGACCACGAATCGACATGTTTGAATGTATGCAAAGCAGCTTCTTTCTTCTAACAATATCCGTCGAATTCGCAAGTATCTAGACAGAGGTCATTCATTACTCACCCTTATTCACGCCTTCATCACCAGCCACTTGGATTACTGTAATGGTCTACTCTATGGTGCCACTGCAACTCACATCGAGAAACTACAGCTAATTCAAAATGTTGCCGTCAGACTTGCCACAAGTTCACCCAAGTTCTGTCAAATGAAACCTACCCTTCGTCAATTGAACTGGCTACCCATCATGCCCCGGATTCAATACAATATACTTCATCTCACCTTCAAGTGCATCCACGGTCTGGTTCCTCCCTACCTTTCTGAACTTATAACTACCAGGCAACCATCCCGCTACTCCCTTTGCTCCTCTCAAGGCATCACGCTGAACCACCCATCTCACAAGATGCTACCCACACTTGGTGGCAGAGCCTTCACAACTGCTGCTCCCAAACTGTGGAATAACCTACCCATATCTCTAACCAACAATATGTCAATACCTTCAAAAACTCACCTCTTTTGTTAACCATATAACTGTAAAGTGCATTTGAACATGTATATGGAAAATGCGCTATATAAATACATTATTGTTATTATTATTATTATTATCAAGTTAAACTTACTCACAAAGACGTGAGCCAGAAGAATATCGAATAATTTTACCTGATTGAAATGATTTGATTTGTGTGCCAAAGGATAAGCTTTGGTATTGAGGTATGCTCATTGACCAGATGTTTCCAATATATTCGACTTTTGTTTCATTTGTTTTCAGAGTGTGAAGGGGGTACCTTTGGTTTGGATTGTGTTCAGCAATGTCATTGTGCTCCAGAAGCTTGTGAGAAGCAGAGAGGTTTGTGTAATGGACAGTGCCTTGATACCTGGATTGGACCATACTGCCAAAGTAATTATACCTAGCATTTTGTGCTCTGGTTTCTTTTCTTGTTCAGCTTCAAAATGGCTCGGATGAAAACTATCTCAGAGTGCATATATATGTATATAACTATAATATGTGCATGTATTTGCTTATTTTAAGATGTTGTTCACAATCTTGCTCCAGAAGTTTGTGGAGCAAGTATTTTTACTTCAGTTTAAGTTCTTTCTAGAGCCCCATGAGCATCAGTACCCGGGGGTACCCGGGCGTTATATAAATAGACATTATGATTATGAGTATTATCTTGTTTTTGCAGACACTTGAACATATATATGCACATAAGTTCGCAAACTATTTTGTATGTTTTGCTCTGTATGAAGTTTCTCCTACACGATACAACGCGGAAGTGTAACGGTAATGTAAAATAAAAATATGAAAAATCCTCCAAATGATTATCTGTTATTTGATACTCTTTTTAAAAATGTTTTACTCAAATTAGTTTTCTTAAGTGGAAAGACATCTTAACTGATAATAGTCGGTGGTTTCACGAAGCATGTATGATTTGATTGCCAGGAGTATCGCATTGATATACATTTATAAGCAATTCAACTTTAAACAAAATAATCAGATTAAGATCTTCCCTTGTTTAGGTACACCTACATGTATGTACATGTTAAAGTGTATTACATATCATTATAATTTTATTACATTATAGATCATTATACATTATAGGATTTGTTTGTCATATATATTGTAAGTTAAACACATAAAGTGAGTGGATGTTAAATAAAATGATTGGCCTTAGGGTTTGCTCTGTCTCGATATAACGATGTGCATAATATAGTGTTTAATGTCTGGTTTGGTTCTTGACAGGAATATCAAGATTGGTTCCAGTGAGAGTGAACCCATACCAACCATCTACCTTCACATGTTATGTTGAGGGTATCCCACCTCCCGATGCATCATCAGTTGATCTTTACAGACGTACTGGAGACATAAATGACAGGACGGGAATCACCAGGAGATTTAGCATTGTCTCAGGGTCAGAACGAGCTGTTGTCTTTAATGTTGATAGTGTGTATCCACAGGAATATGGGAGATACGTTTGCATTCTTATTGTTGAAAATGTAGGCTATCCCAGTACTCCCGTTACCAACGCAACCTATGGTGAGCAAATTGCGTGTCATCGCTTCACTCTACTGTACTTCTGTGAGATACGTTTGTAATAGGAAGCAGGAATTCACTATCTTTAAATGCAGAATCATTCGCAGTCACATTATCTGCATACAGGGTTACATGAAATATGTTAGGTTTTTTTCTTTGATAAATTTTATTTTTACGTTAACTTGATGGGAGAAACTTAAAGATGATAGGTGTGTCATTGTTATTGATTTTGACAGTTATTTCAATAAATTGTATTAATTATTTCTGTCTCTTTTCCTTTTTGTCAGTTCTGCCAGTCATAGAGAAGACACCAGTGATAGTGAGCACCACGTCAACTACAGTAGGTCTTCGATGGAATGCATGGTCTGAAGAAGATGACATTGGTGATCCTCCTCTGGTAGGATATGATGTCTTTGTAAAGAAGGAAAGTGACTGGGTAACGGATCAGAGAGTAGACCAAGTCACAACATTAGCTATCGTTAGTAACCTGACACCCGACACAGATTACAGGTTTCGTGTAGCAGCAGTGAGGGAAGGAACCGGCGGAACAGGACCGTGTCTCCTTGGAACAACACAATAACTCGCTGTAGAAGTAAGTTATGTTCAGAAGACAAGTAATTGAATCTGTTCAGGGTTTGTCATGATTTCAGGGTGCAAAATAAACATTTTTGAGATACTTGTTTTTAAATGTACATTTATCTACAAGAAAGTACATGTATTACAATATAAGTAAATTATTTGTGAATACATTTGGATATTTATGCATTTTTCCAATGATTGAAGGATCTTTAACTTATATAGTTTTGTGGGTAACATCTGTCCTATAGAAATATTTGTAACTTCAATTCCATACATTCTCCTTTTAATTGTTCTATCTTTCTAATATTTGAAACAGAAAATGTATTCTATAAAATATGCATTTTCCCAACTGAAATATAGTATCCTTCGTTGTGCTTTGCCCCATGGTTAGTTTCATGTTTCACTAGTTGACGTTTGATGTAAAACCACATGAAGATTACCTGTTGTAGCCATGTATGATTTTAACACGAAGTGCATGTACATGTTATGAATTCATCTACTACAAGTCCAAGCCATTTAGTATTTTCTATATACTTTTACACTTTAGAACCCAGTGCGTCTCCAACTAGACTACAAGTTTCAGCCATCAACCCTAAAGAGCTAGAGGTGACATGGGAGGTATGAACTGCTTGAAGAATAGCTGTTTTGGTCACTACGGTGAAATGTAGTTGGATGAAAAGACACGTCCAGAATACAAAATATATAATTGTTAATAGCCACAATTTATTGAGGTAAAACCACACTGTTAGGTCATGGAGCTGGTAAATCTACTACCCTGATTAGACTTAATTTTACCCCGGGGGTCTCAGTCAAATATATATACTGCTAGCATGCGTAACCAAAAAAAAACGCGTATATCATTTAGGGGGTATTTTGGTTTCAGAAGAAATCCTCGTTTAGGAGTGTCAGGAAAACCTGTGGTCACGCTTGCTTACAGTATTCCGACATAACAGCTGAGATCCCCGGGATTTTACCTAAACTTCAACAAGATATGTCAAATATGAACGGTTAATTCACTCGCTTCATTAGTATGCCTTTGACATTCTTCACGTACCTCAAAATTTAACTAAATTAATTGCTTCCTAATTGAAAACAGGTGTACCAATGTCTATGTTTGCCAGTTGAAAGTGTGTGCTTTGGGGTCTATAAAATACAGATTAAATTTGATTTCAAAGTAAGAAGCTGATATAAATATGTTTTGTGATCACAAGATTCTTGTTTAACAGAATGCTCCATCACGTTGATTTCATTATTATAATTAATCCGAGAAACTGTATGCAAAAATTAATAACATCTTGTAGTTTTTGTTTACTATTGAAAAGGTAACTTCTTTAATGTGATTGTGCTGCATGTTACATGTATTTGCACCTTTATATTTCAGCATCCCCCCTCAGAATCAGCAGAATGCAGGAGTGGAGTGACCCATTATATGATCTACTATGCTGCCATTGGATCAACGTCTTCAAACTCTATCTTAGTTGGTATCTCGTGACGATAGCTCCTGTGTGATAAGAGGGTTAGAAACCTATCTGGACTATACCATCCAAATAACTGCATCAAATAAAGACGAGGAAAGTGATAGGAGCAGTGAGATTATCGGCAAAACAATTGAAGAAGGTGAGACTTCATCAGCTATTTATCTTGGATTCTTATCATACCTTGGATATCATACCTTGGAAGTAGGCATAAAGTTATACAAAACTTATTTGCCCCTCGGTGTCCGTTAGTGGGTTACTGTTGAATTTGGCGTTATGCAGTTACGGATGAACATGGACAGGATTAAAATTGTCCTTCTTCAGTAACCAGTACTTGTCAAGATTTGATTTGAAAGAATTGAGTGATGGACTTTCTGCTACATATGATGTGAGACCATTCCATTCGTTTACTACTCTCTGTGAAAAAGAGCTCTGCCTCAATTTAGATTTTACATATTTCTTTTGTAGTTTGAACTGGTGACCTCTTGTTACTGTGACAGTGGTACGATGAAAGAAATTAGTTGACTGGAGGTCGTCGATTCCATGCATTATCTTTAATATAGACCTGTAGCATGTCGCTTCTATGACGTCTGTATCATAATGAATGCAAATTTAGTTGCTCTAGCCGTAACTTGTACTGAAGACTTCTGAGTGGTTGAAGGACTTTAGTTGCACGACGTTGAACTTTTTCCACTTTGAGAATATGTTTCTTCTTATAAGGGTGCCACACGGGAGAGCAATATTCTATTGCCGGTCTCACAATTGACTTGTATAACTGTGTGAGTCCCTTGTTGTCCATAGTTGAACAAGTACGCTTGATGATTCCTAATTTCCGGTTTGCAGCATTGCAAGCAGTGTCAATGTGATTTGAAAAGGACATTTTATCATCGAATATTAATTCCAGATCTTTTTCATGTTGAACTGCAGGTAATGGCTCGTTCACATCGTTCTTAGTGTAGTCACACAAGGGATTACTTCTTCCATAGTGGATGACTTTGCATTTCTCAATGTTGAAAGGGAGTTGCCATGTTCAAGACCATACAAGTAGGTTGTTTAGTTCTGATTTAATCCCCAAGTTCCTTCAGAATACGGTTATGTACATTGTCAGGTTCAGGGGATTTGGTCTGATTGAGCTTCTTGATTGCTTCTCTGAAAGCAGATTCTGTAAATTCAACGTTGTCCAGGGTTGTAACATTTCTTCTCAGATCACAGCTAGGAATATTGGCTAAATCTTCTCTCGTCAATACAGAGACAAAAAAATTATTCAATGTATTAGCTTTTTCAGTGTCTGTTTCTGCATAGCCACCATCGGGTTTCTCCAGTGACCCGATGAAAGATATTGTCTTTGTTCTACTTTTCACATATTTCCAAAAACATTTTGGATTCGTTTTCAGATCTGAAGTTAGTTTCTTTTCAAAAGATTTCTTCGCATCAATAACTATTCTGGTGACCTCGTTCCTAATCTTCTTGAACTTATCTCTGTCTTGCTGGCTTCTTGTTTACTGGAAACGATTCCAGGCTTTATGTTTGTCACAAATTACTTTTTTAACAGCAGCATTCATCCATAAGGGTCTATCCTTTGCTCTCGATTTGAATTTAAGCACAAAAGTATCTGTTTCTTCATTGATCCGTTCAACAATAGCATTGCAAGTACAGCTTAACACATCATCTGTATGGGTCACATGTATATCAAACACCTCATTTTCATAGACGAATTTCCTCATTCCTTCAAAATATCCCTTGAAGAATGCATAGTGTTCCAGGTTGGTGGTTTTACAAGACATGTTCGACACCACTACTTTGAATTCAAGTACTAGATGGTCGCTCTTGCCTATTGGAGAAGAGGTAACCAATGATTCAATCATGTCTTCTTGGTCAGTAATAATAAGATCCAAAACATGCTTGTAAGGAAAATAGTCTTATTCCGATATAAATAGTAAAAGATGTGCAAATCGCTATCAATTAATTTATTATAGTTTGAGTTGAACTCATTTCCCAACGAATGCTAACAAGTAAAGATGAGGAGAATTGACAGAAGCAGTGAATCGTACTATCCGCAAAACGAATTGAAGAAAGTGAGAGTTTTCCTGCCGAGTACAGAATAAATGTTTATGTCATTCTTTTGGTGCAAGTATTGTTATGCTGGGAAATGATATCAAATTAATATTATTCAGTTGTATACAGCTTGAATTTAATATATATTTTGTAGACCATAGCCTGTGATTTATTGAGACCCGTCTCAGATGAGTAATTGTTTAATAGTTTATAATGAATTTGTGTTTGGTATGTAAAGGACTGTTTCACTCTGCTGCTTGTAATAGCTAGCTGTCTTTATGAAACCTTTATGACATTAACTTACATTGTTATTGCGATCAATGTCAAACAAGACAAAGTACTACTAGGCCCCCGTCTCATAAAGAGTTGTGGATTATCCAAATTAATTGCAATTCCTCTAATCAATCGCAAGTTTGCAGTCTCTAATCTCTTGATATGTACATAGTTGCAATCAATATCAACTATTTATGAGAAAATTTACTGGGCAAAGAATTTAACTTTTATCTAAATAATGGTATATAAGGTTCTTGTTTGCTCATAATGTTTAAGGAGGCGCGATAGCTCAGTCGGTAGAGCAGTGGTCCGGTGACCCGGGCTCGAAACCAAGGCGATGCGCTAGTGCCCTTTTGTAAGGCATTAATCCTCATTACCAGGTCCCTTAGAGAAGACCTAAAGCCGTCGCCCATCTGGTTGCTTACTTACAAGAATTTAGGCTTTCTTAGCAGTCATGTAAAATAACCACCACCATTCATTCATATAATCCTTACCATTACCCACCCTCCCCTTCCTCCCCCAAAAAAAGAAATTTGCATCCTCTCATACAAAGTTGATAACAGTTTGTTAATATAGACTCTTATTATATGCTTTCCCTTAACAGTTGCACCTAGTCCTATCAATGTGGCTATACCGCGGAGTACTACAAGCTCCTTCACTGTATCCTGGTCTACCCCTCTACCATCTAACATCAATGGTAACATCCAGAAGTATATCATCCGCTTCAAGCAAACTGATCCAGTTGTTGATGGTGACTATAAGATGGAGGAAGTATTGAATGGTGCGTTTAAAGGAGAGCATACTGTTATAGACCTGACAGCAAAGTCCAACTACTCAGTTCAGGTAATAAATGTCATGTTATTATACGTACTTGTATACGGCATGGAAAGGTAAAGAGGGGTGGATTGACATGGATGGGTCATGTTTGAGAAGTGAAGATGATGAACATGCGAAAAGAGTGTGGTATCTGGAAGTGGATGGCATAAGAGGGAAAGGAAGAGCAAAGATTTTACAGAAAGATATGGGCCCCGTTGCATAAAACTTACCATTGGTGGTAACTTTGCCATCAATGGCAACCACCATGGTAATAGGGCTCAACAGCCAATCAAAATCAAGGTTTCCATGGTAGTTATCATTGATGGCAAAGTTACCATTAATAGTTAGTTTTGTGCAACGGGCCCATGGTGAAGAAAAAAAAGCAGTAGGTTGGTCGAAATGAGGAGAATGCTTGAGACAAGAAGAAGTGGAGGAAGGGCGTGAAAGTCAGTAATCCCTCGTAAGAAGGAAAAAGCTGACTTGAATAAATGATGAAGATAATGCATAATGTATAATGCATGATGCATAACGTACAATGCAAGGATGCGCTACATTCAGATTGGTAAATTGCCCTATTGAGGACGTCTGAATGGCATGTTTTGTCAAATATCCTTTTTTGAGAATCCGCACTTGAGATGCAATGTATAAAACAAATTTGTACAGCTTTGTTGTTGTCTTAGAGTTGATCTCAGTCACCTCACTAAGCCTCTAAGAACAGCTATCTTATGTGCTTTTAGAAAATATAGTTTGATTTAGGAAATAGCATGAAAGAGGTAGTAAACTTTTTTAATTTTAAAGAAAAAATATAAATGTTAAAGAATTATTTTTGTACTGATATCCATGTTTAATAATATAGGTACAGACTGTTAATGGAGCTGGTTCTAGCAATTGGTCAGAACCTGTGAATGCTAAGGCGATACCATCAGGTAAGCACATTATAAGACTTATCACTATTGTGTTCATACATAAAACCTTTTCCATGAGAATTTAAACTTTGACTACTAAATCCTACTCATTCCCATAATATTTTATACAGGGGCCATATGTTTCCACAAAGTTCTATCTTAACTGCTAGTACTTGGTAGATGTGTGTATCTCAAGGTAAACATAACTTCTTTAGTCCCTTATGTTCAATGGATGGCCCATTTTGCCCAAGAGTATCTGCATTGATCAATTTTTTAACTAAGAATTGTTATGCTTTACGTCCTGACGCAGAAACAAACAAGTATCTGCGTCAAGTACTCTATTCCGATAGGGTATATGTTATGCTCAAAATGGCAACGAACAAAGTTTAACTACGATATTTTTTATACAGAATGCCACTTGTAATTAATATGTTGTCCTCGAGATCCCGCAAATCATGGCAAAAATGGATCTATGGACAACAAACAACCCATAGCAAGGGTCTATCATTTGTACGTTGTAAGTTCTGTAGGGCCATGCATTATGGTTCAAGGCATGGCCACACAGAGGAATTTTTCCTGTTGGGGCCGGGGAAAATGCAATGAATTTTTGACAATTTATTGCATTTTCTTCGTTTTGGGGGATTTGTGGGGGCGGCCGCGTACCTTAGCGAACACTGCGTACATTCATGATTCAGGGGCTAAGCAATGGCCTCGTTACTTTGAGGCCACAGGATAAAAATCGTGTCGATCAGCTATATTAGTGCCCTTTTGTGAGGCATTAATCCTCATTACTGTCAATTATGATTTAAGGACGTAGGTTCCCTAGCTGATTAGCATAGTAGCACACATATGATTTAGCAGTCACGCAAAACAAACACTCGCAATTTAACATTCAATAAAATCTCAGAATATATGCCATTATCTAGATCTATTAGAAATTTAAAAAAAATTTAAATCCTTCCCTAAACTGGGGTTAAAATAAATATTCCACCATTATGACCAACAGTGTAGTTGAAATACACTGTATACAGACACAAACTACAGACAACACTAAAAGCAATGACAACATTCCTTGCATTTTTTTTTGCATAAGTTGCAAAAAGATGATTAAAAAACAAAACTACAGAATTACCCAATACATTCGTGAAAAAAATAAAAATCAAAGATTTAATATTACCCTCTGTAGTGTTCCTTTACAATGATGGGTGGTTTGGTTATGTTCATTTGGCCTATTAAAACAAAATAAAGATGTTGTATTGCCCTTTAGGTGCCAAAACATGGGTTGGTCGGTCGGAATTCTTTTTTAATAACTTTTTTTTCTTCTTCTCCCTCTTTAGGCTGATATTTCTCCGTTTTGAATGCTTTAAAGCCGACCGGAGATTTCTAGATTTTGGGGTCGGTCGCAAAGGGCAATACAAAATCTTTTTTGTTTAAAGGCCTTACACTAATTTAGGTCAGGAAGCATGTCAATTCAATGATGTTACAAAGGAGGAAGAAATAAATGTTGTTCTGAATTGAATTTCACTTCCAGTACCAAACAAAGACGTTTAAACGCTGAGCCGGCCGCGTCACCACCAAATACTGCACAAGAGGCCTCTTCGAAGTATGGGAACTCTGCATATGATGACACAGACACCCATACATACCAAAATCCTAATACTGACACACCTAATTACCACACCTACGAAGAAATTATATAGAAGCAACCCAAGCGTGGCAAAGGTGTATGTTGCCAATATTGATGCTTGCTGGCAGGCGCGTACGCAGGAATTTTTTTTTTATGTGTGTATTTTGGAGCAAACCCCCCCCCCCCCCCCCCCCCCCCCTTTTTTTTTTTTTTTTTTTTTTTTTTTTAATAAAAAAATAAAAAAATAAAAAAAATTATGCCAATGGCTGACCTAAGGTTACCCCAACGGAACAAAATGTCAATTTTTCAAATTTCGAGACCAAAAAAAAAAAAAAAGTGTCCTCTTATATTTTGTCCAACTAGGTCAATTAATGTATGATTATAAAAAATAATATGTTGCCATCTGTTTTTCAAGAAAATTATGTTTTTTTTTTAACAGCTCAGTCCATAATTACCCAACAAGACATTCGGAGGATTTTCATTTACCTCTCTTGCGGACCCTCTTAGCTAAAAAACACATTATGAAGGTCCAAAGTTTTGAAATGCCTTAAGTAATGAAATAAAAAAATACTCCATCGAATGGTATTTTTAAGGAAAAAAAATGAAATTATTTTGATTACAATCATATAAACCTCATAGAAGTATAAGTTGTTGTTGGTGTTTTTGTTGAATACAAGATCATTCTCTACTCGCTGACTCAAGATGTAATTTGATATATTATATTGTGCCCTGTCATGCTTATCTCCTTTCTAATGCGCATTTCTCTGTCCTCAACTTCTTCTCAACCCACATGCAGCTCATCCTTTTGTATTATTTCCTGTACCCCCGATCTCTCACTCCCTTTTGGCATTGTCTACTCCTTTGTGTTGTGACCGTGTTCTTTTGTCATGTAAAGTGCTGTCTTGTCTCGTTCTCGCCTCTGTTGGACCCCCCCCCCCCCCCCCATTTTTTAAAACCTATTTTGTAGTTCCTTGTAAAGTTGTTAATTTAATTACTCATTATTCATAAGTATAATTTGAGGGGTCCACAGTTATACAAGAATTGCTTTTTAGTTGACCCCTCTGTTTCCAATATGTATTCCTAAGTTGTTGTAAATGTTTATAATCGATTTAAAATGTTTTTTGGAAAACATAAATAAATTGAAATTGAAATGATGAACATGCTATGCAATACACACAGTTGGTAATACGTTTGTCTTGATGCTCATAATAATTCATTTTCTATAAGCTTATTCTACGGTACTTATCTATTGCAATTGTTACAAGAGTTATAACGAAACTTAATCAATGTGGCTATTTTCGAAATGTTATAGAAAGAGGTTATATGTAATGTGATTTGTAAATCATTAGTCGCTAGCGAATAAAGGAATGAAGGGTTGAATTTGTGTCTAAAGTCATCCGATTAACTTTCATTAACAATGCAAAGATGTCAATTTTAGGTTATTCACTACATTTGTACAGTAAATGTTTTGATTTCTTTTTCACTTGAGGCGGTGTAATGTTCCTCAATGACATAGATCTCTTTTTAGATTTTCTAACGTATAATTTATATAGATTTATTCAAAAACTGTTGCCGAAGGAAGGAAAAATATTTTACATCATGTGTTCCTTCTGGCATTTAGGTTTAGTGACCTTTGAGTTTTCATACGCTATTCAAGATAAACACCTCATGCTCCTTACGCGTGTGAAATGACGCAGCTGACAAAAATAGTGAGCAGAGAGAATGTAGATATCATGAGAAAAGAAGTAACTAGGCTGTTTAGAATAACTAAAGGTTATCCTATATGGATTGAAATAAGGTTTTGTGAAAGCCTGTTTACATTAAGGCGCGTACGCAAGGGAGGGGGTTCGAACCCCCCCCCCCCCCCTTTGTTATTTTTTGTAATAAAAAAAAATAATAATAAAAATGAAAAAAATATTAAAAATTGTGGTAATGGGTGACCCCAAAAAGTTAACCTTACCCCCCCCCCCCCCCTTCTAACAAAACGAAATATCGATCGGCCAAAATTTCAATTTATGGAACACACACCAACAAAAATGTGCTCTTCACCAATCTGCTTTTCTGCTTTTCTGCTTTCTTTTAGAGTAGTTTATTGGAGTGTGACGTAACGGGGGGAGGGGGTGTCCGCGGGTAAGGGGGCTTCAACCAGGATTTAACCCCCAAAGCCCCCTCATCCCTCGACACGATAATGGATACACACCTTCTTACAACATAAACAAATATATGCCATGTGCAAAGTTTCAGAATTGCCTTGCAGAATTGTTCGTCACTCTTTTGTCAAGATTCCACCACCGACGGGAAAGTTATCCGCGACTCCGCCACAATTTTAGAAATTATACTTACCAAACTACCAATTTGATATCCGCATAGACCTAGTGATCTCAAATCTATTTCAAATTGTCGCCATTCTGTTTATTTTATTTCTCTGCTTTTATACAAATGAAGTTAGTAAAAGAGTTAGCTCGCTCTTTGAAAGAGTAATCATTGATTAGTCGTACAGTATAGCAATACTAGTACAGCAATACTAGTAAACTGTAAGCCTGAAAGAATATTATTATGCACTGTGCTATAATAGTAGTGAAATAAGAGGTAGTTGTAGTTTCGTATACATGCAACGCTAGTAAAGTGTAGGCCTGAATAATCTGTACTAAGAATTATTTTTTATTGAAATTAATTATTGAAATGTTAAAAGAATACGTTGAATGAATATATAAATATAGTATATTATTTGTGATGTATTTTTTTATTATATTTTTGATCAATGAAATCCTGTTCACTGATTGGTCAACATAGCATCATGTGACCAAACATAACATTGCTTTGATGTAACCGTGACGTCATGCATGGTATAGTGAACTATAATAATAATAATATTGGCATTTATATAGCGCTCTTACAGACATACATGTGTATCACAGCGCTTTACAACATATTATTATTACCCCGGTCATCGGATTCAGGCTTACCCGCACACAAGGTATGCACATTCTCCACTCCCTGGGGAGCATTCCAGCCAGTCGCCATTTTACAAGCGCCACTTGCTAATCAAACCACATTAGCTTTCGCATCCTACCGGGTACCCATTTTAACACCTGGGTGGAGAGTGGCAAATGTAGATCAATGTCTTGCCAAAGGACATTAGTGCCGCGGCGGGACTTGAACCGCGGACCTTGTGATCCACAGTCCGGTGACTTATCCACTCGACCACGACACCTCTACCATGGCACTATACCATGGATGACGTCATATATATGCGATCGATCAAGATCAATGTGCTATCGGTCGCAGTCGCGGTATGTCGTCTGCGCTGCTCTCACCGCACTCTACACTCCTTTAGTGACAGTCAACATATTATTATTTAGTTATTAGGTTGGTTTGAAAAATATAAAACAAATATATCATGCACTATTTCAAGCCACTAGTTAAATTATGGATTCCTCGGCGACAGAAATGGCACTATTTTCTTCGGGGCGACGCCCTCAGAAAATAGTGCTATTCCTGCCACCTCGATCCATAATTTTAAATAGAGTCTCTCAGTGCATGGTATATTTGATTACTATTCATCTTGAAGGAATAATAGCAAATTCTGAGAACTCGAGTCTATGTAGACTTCTGTATCCAATTATGTTAATGGCATTTTTGGCGTGATCACGATTATTATTGGATGTGGTGGTTCCTGGATTTGTTATACATCTTATAACGTTGAAATATGTGTTGATCTATGTATTTCGGGAGTTTCCTGAGTTGAGGAAAAATCATGCTTGCTCTTTGTGTGCGTGCGTGTGCGTGTGTGTGTGTGCGTTTTGTTTTTATTATTAAAATTATTATCATCAATATTGTTTTGTTATTATTATTATTATCATTATTATCATAATTTTTCTCACTATTGTCGAAAGTGTTATTTTGTATTGATTAACTTTAATTTGATTTGTATTGTATACTTTATAGTGTTAAATTGAGAAATTCAAACTGATTGTAAACTTCTCCAATACCCGAATGTGACATGAGAATAAATTGTCATTTTCATTGTCATTGTCATGCTTGATTGCATGTGTGTGTGCGCACATGTCTGCGTGCGTGAGAGAAGGAGAGAGCGAGAAAGGACGTGGGGGGGGGGGGGGGGTTAAGAAGAAAGTCTAGAGAGAGAAGGATAGTGTGAGAGGAAAATAATGGAAATTCGGAGGGGGGGGCTGGAAACAGCAGTGTTTGACATCTAATTATGTTAGTTTCTTTACACAAGCAAAGTAATATATATATATAGAGAATAATCATATCCTGCTTACTTCTCTATTCCACTTCTCAAGGATTGAGATATTCACTTGCGTATTCAAATTTTGATATAATTTATCTGAACCATGGTATGGATATGGGGCCTTCTGACAAACACTTATAGTTTCTGCTAGACGCTAGATAACGCCTATCTGACTCTAATAGCATTATAGTCAATGAGAGAACCAGCATAATAATCCCACGGCTGATCTTACACAGGTGAGGAGCTCCTTGATCTCTATCCGATGAATGATCTGGAAGTTGAACAAATCACGCGATGTCATGATCGCTGAAGACGTTGTGTAAGGGACAATTTTATTGAAGTGACTGGTTTCGAGGTTAACATTTAACCACGTCCCAGTTATAATGTGAAGTGTTCTCGAGCCTTACATGGCGACTTACGTGTTCATCAACCGTTGGATAAGTTACTTTTATTGTAAAGTTTAAGATATTTGAAAAATATCAGTGAAAATTTGAACAAAATCAGGCAAGGAATAAGGAAGTTAGAGCTTTTTGAAATGACTAGTCGCTAGAGGGTTGTATTTAATTTGATGACATCATCTGTGGACAACTCTCCATGCCGTACATCAAATTTCATGTTTTTCCTTCTTTCTTGTGATTGCGATAATCTACTCCCCTGAAAGCAAGAAATAGAATGCAAAATGATATTCTACTTCACATGTTATGAAGTCGGATCAACAACACAAATAAATACGAAGAAAACGAAACAATTGTGAAATCGAAACATTAGAGACAATGTAAAAATAAATGGTGAAATTAAGATCAAGTATCAAAGGATGTCCATATACGTCCTGAAACAGAAACACGTTGCAATTAGCTTATTCATAGTAGCCTAGACTACTCTACATATCATTAAACTTGCAACGTGTTTCTGTTTCAGGAAATGATAAGTAATAAATATGGACATCCTTTGAAATACCTCTTTCAGTCTTTCAGTTTCACCATATTTGTGAGCTGAGCTGTGAGTGTGAAACTAAAGTATCAGACATATAATATATGAATGGGCTTAAATAAATCAAAGGCAATGTTTACTTAGGCTATATGACCCAAGATTCTGGGAGAATGCTGTAATATTATGGTAAACTTACCAATTTCCCGGTCCAAAATAAACCTTCAAAAGGAGATATTTTGCTCCAAAGATGAAGTGTCTTTCTACGCTTTTTACATCCGTGCGGCTTCAATCACCCCAATTTTTCATTACGTTCGAAATTAGGCAGGGGTGTGTCACATCGCTAATCATGTTTTGGAGCAAATCCAAATTTGGACATTTGAATTTGCCGCGGGCGACTGTACTTGTAAGTTCGTCACCGGAAATCACGAGCGCTCACTAAACTGAATATTCCGTTTATTGGTTGGGCTGCTGCACCAGGGGGTAAGAGCACATTCTTTTTTGTTTGTGTGTCTCAAAATTAGAAAGTTTGGCCTATTGATTTTTTTTTTTTTGGGGGGGGGGGTATAGTCAGCTTTTTGGGTCACCCATTACCTTTACCATTTTTTTTTAATATTACAAAAAAAGGGGTTTTTCCTCGAGAACACACACATTAAAAAAGTTAAAGGAGGGGTTCAACACCCCCGCCCCCTCCCTGCGTACGCGCCTAGTTTTTCTGGTGTCTTTCGTCGTTTCGGCACTCAGCATATGTATATGTTCATGACCTGTCAAAGGCACACGCGCACGCCCAAATTCAGTTCACTGCACTTAATTTTCAGTTTAATTGGAAATAACCATTGAATTAGGGACAATATTAACCTCAGAAATAAATGTACTTCAAGTGCCTTCAATCAACACCCTCCACTGTTCAGAATCATTACCCTCTTCCGTCTCTCTCTCTTTCTCTCATCCTTTCTTTCCCTCTCTCTCTCTCTCACTTCCACACTTCTCCCTAGTCACACCAACGAGACCTACGACAGACCGAACAAACAATTACAGTACTCTTAGACCCCGTTCTCACTCACTTTGAGAGCGCTCCAAGTTAGACCGCTCCAGACCGCTCCAGAGGAACGGGTCTTGAGGAACGGTTTGCGAGCGTTCATACTCCGAGCAGTTTTTATGGCTCAAAGTGGTCTTGTTGCTATGGCAGCTCAGGTAGGCGGGTCAATTTTTTCGCGCATGGAATCCAAACCATATGTACCGTACTACATGTTTCGCACGCAACGTCACTAGCTCACTTCCGCTCAAAGTACGCTTTCCGTTCACATTGCACGTTAGAGCGCTCTGGAGCGTTCTTAATAAGACCCGCTCCTCAAGACCACCTCGGAAGGTGGACTTCTGGAGCGGTCCAGAAGTCCGCTTCCTGGACCACTTTGAGCGTTCTCACTCACCTAAGAACCGCTCCTGAGGAGCGGGTCTTAGTTAGAGCGCTCCAGAGCGCTCCAACGAAGTGAGTGAGAACGGGGTCTTACTAGCAAAAAATCAATCGGTTTAGAGTCTGTTAGGAGTCACTTTGGTGATGTGACAGAGGTATAACGATATCCCCTCCCTCCTTACCGGTATCTTTATCACCCTCTCTCCCCATACATTTCTCCCCATACATTTCTCTCTCTCTCTCTCTTCGTCCCCTTCTCCTTTTTCTTTCCCTCCTTTCCTCCCTCTCTCTCCCCCTCTCTTTATCTCCCTTTCTTATTATCTCTGTCTCTCTCATTTCCTATTCTCTCTGTCTCTCTCATTTCTTCCACCCCCCCCCCCCTTCTCTATCATTCTCGTTCTCTTCCTCACTCCTTTCCTCCTGTTCCCTCTGAACCCTCAGTCACTCTGCTTCCTTAAAATCCTTTATTCCAAACTCTATAATCATTCATCCTTTTATCTTCCTCCTACTCCTCAATCTTCTGTCCATATTACATGTCATTCATTCTACATTGGAATCATTCTGGTGAACTAAAGGGTACCATGTAGTGTGGTTCCGCTCTATACACATCCATAATCACACACAACTTATTAATCCACACAATTTGGGAATATTTGAACAAGTCTTTTACAAAAGCATGTATCAAAAATTTATTTACAAATTTACTTGCGATCATTATTTTTGTTCAGAATATGTACATTGCTAAACAATGTCATGAAGAAATGATAAAAAATGCATACTCTGAAAAAAAAGAAAAAAAATTCCCCCCGACCATGATCCCCATTGTGGTGAATATGGTCAATGGTGATGAGAAACTTAATGCTGGCCAACTAATATAAATAACTACTTTGATGGAATTGTACTGGAAGGAAATATTACACAAATATATAGTAGTTCACAATCATGGGGTATACTTCATTAAATGTGCATTTTACTACAGAATATAGTATTATAACCATATTTTCACATTTCTTTTGTATTTTTTTTAATTACGCAAGAACTGCACTGATAGGTGAAGGCGGAATAAAGTCAAGACTACAGGTATAGATCAACACACAATGGAAAGCTTGATAAAGTAAACCAAATCAGACATTAGTCCACAAGTAAGGGGCAATATCATTCACTTAATAATGATAATAATAATAATAGTGATACATTAGAAATAAAGACAATGTTTCCCCACTCAACCTTTTTTCCATACGGGTGGGGAATTAATATTTAGGGTTTCAATGCATGAGCCATGTGTCAAAATTGTGAAATTATGGGGTCTGAGATTTGAATTTGGGGGCTTATAATCTGTCTATTATGCCCGTTGGAAAATATTACCCTTGCTTTTCCCATGATGACCTTAATATCAACACACAGCTCATAAACATTTGAAGATATTGGCCTACTTCAACAGGGTCCTATCTGGCAAAAGCATGATCAACTACACATGGTACTCTTGATATAACAAATACAAGGTTCCAATAAGAGAGGAATTCTCTAGGTTCCCATTATTTGTTAACCCTATAAGGCATGCAAACTTAATATGGCCCAACAACTATAGCTCACTATCAGTTACAAGGAAATGAACCTCAGTCACTCAAATGAGACCAGCACCAGACAGACAATTGACCAAACACATGTATTTTATTACCCTCAAATTGCCAGGGATCAGTCAATTTCAGTCGAGTCAGTCTGGAATTACTTTGGCAGTCTGACTTTTCTCATATGATTGGTTCAGAGACCCTTGTTATAACAGACTGGCCCTGTACAACAGTGCCTCCTAATATGTAGACAGAAAATGGTACAAGACCTGTGGGGGGGGGGGCAGCCCAGAGGGGCAAAACCCAGCATGTCCTCTTCACACACGATGTACGGGTACAAGGTTTTTTTCAAACTTAATAAGCAGATTTATGAAGTACTTCCTTTGAATTCCACACAAGATTTACAAAAACTTTCTAGCATATAGGTTTTTGAAGATGGCAAGAAGAAAAAGTCAGTAGGAAATAAGATAAGACCAATTTCTGCTAGCTCCAACTCATCAAGCCTGAATTTTGCAAGTTCCACGGTGCAGTTTTACTCCTTGTAGACAGAGTTCTTGACTAGTTTAGCTGCATGGGTAAGCTGTAGAGTATCATAAGGATGCACTAGCCCAGGAAACGATTTGGACCAATAATCTGAGGGTCAAACTCATCAAGTCTCGATTTCCAAGTGAAGTACTTTTTCATCACGTATTCCCTGTGAAATTTGTTGATAGTGGTGCAATGGTGTAGTCGTACTCCTTGTAGACAGAGTTCTTGACTAGTTTAGCTGCATGGGTAAGTTGAAGAGCGGCATCGACATGCGCTGACCCAGGAAGGAGGGTGCACTCTCGCTCCAGGAGTTGAGAGATGCCTTCAAGGAAGTCCTGCATCCCAAAGGACAAGGCGGCACGTCGCAACCGATTCAGCTCCTGCAAAGGGCAAAAAACACCAAAAGGTTTTGTAGGCAGATATACTTTTCATCTGAAAATGTTGTTATAAATAAAGCATTATACAAAGGTTGTCAATGGTTGTCACTATAATACCTTATTCACACCATCAAACAGACGCTAAACAGACTCTAAACTGATTTTAAATCAAATAATTTTTGGCCATTGGAGGTAAAGTAAGATTTTGTTGGTCTGTTTTCAGTCTGGTGTCAGTCTTGTTAGTGTGTGGCTGGTGTATCTGTACAACAGGAGCTGTTTACAGGCTGTCATAAGTGATGGTGAGACATTAACAAACTGTATCACTTATTCGCTATAATAAAAGGGAAAAAAAACATCATCTTACTTGAAATTAATTACAAGATTTCATTCATTTTTAGCTATATGTAATCTGGGTCTGTGTGATATTTTGAAAATGAAAACATGCTAATATGTGAAGTGGTGGTTATTTTACCTCACTGCTAAGAAAGCATAAACGTTTGTTAGTATTTAAAGCAACCAGAGGACCGACGGATTTAAAGGTCCTCTCCGAGAGACCTGTTAATGAGGATTAATGCCTTACCAAAGGGCACTAGCACATCGCCTTGGTTTCGAACCCGGGTCACCGGATTACGAGACCACTACTCTACCAATTGAGCTATCGCGCCATAAAAAATCTAAATTTGATTCTATTCTGCAAAGAATATTCACTCTTGGAAAATCATTTGTGTGAAAAAATGATTACAAGTAATCTACAATCAGACTTAATTCCTGATGGACAGAAAAATAATCTTTAAAAATATTGCAGGAGGCTTTTGAATTGAAAATTGAATCCCATTCATATCCATTAGGATGAGCACATTATAGTATATATGAAGATGCAGATTCTTCATCATGAATGATAACATAGAGCATCCAACTGTAGAAATAACAGTTACCTTGTAGAATACTTGAGTCTTGTCCGGTAGTTTGCGAGCATAACGGAGTATCTTCTGCACATCCGACTGTCGCATGAGAATAAAATGAGATGAAAGAGATATTTGGTGTCTAATTCCATCTACTTTTCTTCAATTTGTCTTACCATTCTGGTGAACTCTTTAAGTATTTATATCATTACATGTTTGTGTAATAAGTATTACTTTTCTGGTCAATCATTAAAGTCAGGCTTTTTAAAGCTAACCGAAGCAACATAACATTATACAATTTTCAAGAAGAAAAGCAAAAACTGGAATTTGAGAAATTAAATTTTTTTCAGTAAAAGTGAATTCCCTGAAATATAAAATATGTTTTATTTAAATGGACCGCTGATTGCATACTGATTTACATGACCTCTGTGGGATTGTAGTGCAAAATTAACAAAAGCAATTAAAGCAAAACGTGGAAAGAACATCAAAATATTTGGCAAATATAATCTTTCATTTAAATATAACAATACAAGGACACATTTTTACACAGATTTACAGCGATCTCAGGGACTGTCCATTTTTGTAAGAAAAAAAAATCATGATAAAAAAAAAATTCAAAAATTGGGAAACCGATTTAAATCGGGCAATTATCAGGCCTGGGCCCCGTCTTACAAAGAGTTGATATCAATCGCAATTTATTTGAGATTTATATCAATCGCAACTATGTATATTAGAGATAGGAGACTGCAAAGTTGCGATTGATTGGAGAACTTGCGATTGATCCAAATCAATCGCAACTCTTTGTAAGACGGGGCCCTGGACCAGACAGGATATTTACCTGAAGGTTACTATTCTTGATCCAGACCACTGGATTCTGAGCATAGCTGCGTTTAGCGTCTGGCATTACAGGAAAAGGTGTCTTATTGTCATCTTCACCGTATGGATTCTGATCAAACGCTGCATTACATTGAAGATGAAGAAAATAAAAAGTTAACATGTCAAGCTTGCCCAGTATCTACTACCATTGAATTCATATATACAAGTATAACTTTTGAGGATGAAAATAAAATCAAAGAGCAATAATTTGAAGATGAAAAAAAAAAGTTGCTCAGTAAATATCAGGCTTGCTATTGAAGTATCAACTACCACTGCATGCATTTATACAAGTATAACTTTTGAGGATGAAAATAAAATCAAAGAGCAATAATTTGAGCTGCAGAGACAAATATCCAAAGGGTAGATGTGTAACACTAATCAGATCCTAACTCCAATCCATGAGCCAACACTCAACCAAACCCTAACCCCATCTATAGTGTATGCCTAATCCTAAAAACCGATAGCAACCTGAACCCTCATCAGAAATGCCACAGGAGTAAATGTCATTGGAGCAAATGTCACCTGGGCAAGTATCGCTGCAGAAAATGTCATCTAAGTAAATATTGCCGCAGCAATTGTCGCCTGAGTAAATGTTGTTGTAGCATATATCACCTGTGTACATGCTGTTGTAGTAAATGTTTCTGAGTAAATGCTGTTGTAGCAAATGTCACCTTCGCAAGTATTGTTGCAGCAAATATCACCTGAGTAAATATTGTTGCAGCAAATGTCGCCTGAGTAAATGTTGTTGTAGCATATGTTACCTGAGTACATGCTGTTGTAGCAAATGTCACCTAGGTAAATGTTCCTGAGTAAATGCTGTTGTAGCAAATGTCACCTTCGCAAGTATTGTTGCAGCAAATGTCACCTGAGTAAATGTTGTTGCAGAATTTGTCGCCTGAGTCAATGTCATTGTAGCAAATGTCGCCTGAGTCAATGTCGTTGTAGCAAATTGACCTGAGTAAATGCTGTTGTAGCAAATTGACCTGAGTAAATGCTGTTGTAGCAAATTGACCTGAGTAAATGCTGTTGTAGCAAATTGACCTGAGTAAATGCTGTTGTAGCAAATTGACCTGAGTAAATGCTGTAGTGCAAATATCACGTGAGTAATGTCGTTAAAGAAAATGATGTCTGAGCAAATGTCCCCAGAGAAAATGTCATTTCACTTCAAGTTCTATAGTTCAAGTTCATTTTATCAAAACCACACAAAAACATGATATAATCTAAACTAGATGGAATTCGACTGCGCGCAGTCGAAAATGATGCCTCCGTCATAGAGCAATTTTACAAACCAAAACAGAAGACATTTTTCGAATTCAAGTTCAATTGTAATCCATTAACAGGTTCTCAGAATATCGTGATTACAAGCAATTTCTCATATACATATATGACCCTTTGATCTTTGACCTCATGACCCTAAAATCTACTCAGTTCATTGGCTCTGCAAGATGTCCTGAGTTAAATAGTAATCCATCTGTCAGTTCTAATGAGAATGTGTTCACAAGCTATTTTTGCATACATAATGAGCCCATGACCTTTGACCTTTGATCTTATGAACCAAAAATCTACTCAGTTCATTGGCTCTGCAAGTAACATACATGACCTAATTTTGGCAGGAATCCATCAATCGGTTCTTGAGAACGCGATCACGAGCTGTTTTTGCATACATAATGTGCGTTGTGGCCTTTGACCTTTGACCTCATGACCCCAAAATCTAATCAGTTCATCTGCTCTGCAAGTAACATACATGACCTAAGTTTAGCAGCAATCCATCAATCGGTTCTTGAGATAACGCAATCACGAGCTGTTTTTGCATACATAATGTGCGCTGTAGCCTTTGACCTTTGACCTCGTGACCCCAAAATCTAATCACTTCATCGGTTCTGCAAGTAACATACATGACCTAAGTTTGGCAGCAATCCATTACTCGGTTCTTGAGATAACGCGATCACGAGCTGTTTTTGCATACATAATGAGCCCTGTGACCTTTGACCTTTAACCTCATGACCCCAAAATCTAATCAGTTCTTTGACTCTGCAAGATACATACATGACCAAAGTTTGGCAGGAATCCATCAATCGGTTCTTCAGATAACGCGATCACGAGCTGTTTTTGCATACATAATGAGCCCTGTGACCTTTGACCTTTGACATCGTAACCCCAAAATCTAATCAGTTCATCGGCTCTGCAAGATACATACATGACCAAAGTTTGGCAGGAATCCATCAATCGGTTCTTCAGATAACGCGATCACGAGAACGGGACGTACGTACGTACGTACAGACGTACGTACGTACAGACGTACGTACAGACGGACGGACGGACAACCCGAAAACATAATGCCTCCGGCTACTTCGTAACGGAGGCATAAAAAGAGACTGAAAATATTACATTAATCAACATATATTACTGAACTTGATTACATTATAAAATCATGAATAGATACGTACCTGAACATGGTCCTAGCAGTGTGAACTTTCCTAGCCAAGGAATAGCTTTAGATCCAGGTTCAAAGATAGATAGCATCATGTTGGATTTCTTCTTACTATCAGCCCATGAGTACAGTATACCATACCAGTCATCACTGAAAGGAGCAATAAAGGAGGCAGCTAGGCATTAATAAACAGACTCTTTCATTGGACTTTCAATTGATAAGAAATAAATCATAATAACAACGACGACGATAAGTAATGACTCCGGACTCTTGCTTGCCACAGCTTCATTTCAAACCAAAACGACCCAGGCTTAGCAACTAATAATCTTTTCTATCATAAAAAAATGAAACATCAGATTGTTTTTAATATATCTCCTTTTGTGACACCTTCCCCCCCCCCCCAAAAAAAAAAATGCCCCCACAGCCGTAATGACCCCCACTCCCACCTCCCTGTTGAATACAATACAACTGATATATACTTACATAATCTGTACCAGGGCTACCATACTGTTTTTAATTTATTTCCTTTCATTACAAACCCGCCCCTACCCCCAAAAAAAATCCCCCCCCCATGGTGAATACAACTGCTACATACTTACGTAATCTGTACCAGGGCTACCATGCCATTAATCTTAAGGCTGCCATGTAGGAGCACACAGAAGCTTGGTGTCTTGCCCTCCTCTGTGGTGGTTGAAGAGCTTGCATCTTCCTCTGGTTTATCAGAATCTTTGGCGTCAGGGGACGTCTCAGACTTCTCTAAACACAACAACGGAAACAGGAAGATTGTCAGATGTGTGGAATATACATGTACATTTTTATAATTTGCTTATATTTTAAATTCTGGCTCAAAAACAATTATACAATGTAAAATAAACAGGAATATTTCTCTAAACACGACAACAAAAACAGGAAGATTGTCAGATGTGTGGAATATACATGTACATTTTGGGAATTTGCTTATATTCATATTCTGGCTCAAAAAAATTATACAATTTAAAAAAAATGGTGAAATAACTTTTTTCAAATTTCATTGTATACATGTAGCTAGCACAAAATAAGTCCAGTTGACTTGCCTATAATATATAATGTTGTTTACATATCAATTGGTCAACCTCAACTGTAACCTATTGCACTGTAAGACATTATGCCTCTTTGTCCACACAAAAAGGCAATATAAATTAAAATTAAACCTGTGAAAGAAAAATATGAGACAATACTTCAAAAACCTGGTGGTATGGAAGAGGTTCAAAGTTTATACTCAACATAGTGCTCAGAATACTGCACTTGAGACATGGGCAATCATTGAGCACATGATGACCTATAGAGGGAGACACACCTTTACTAATGTATGGAATCACAAGATGTCTTGAGACGGAAGGTGGGCTCACAGCATCCCCCATGTCCAGGAAGCCACACACCTGAAGGTCAGACCCAACCTCCCTCGTCATGACCTCTGTATCCTTCTCCACCGTCATCACCTTGGGACGTGGAAAGAGCTGCACATCGGAGCTCAGGTTCCCACAGTGCAAGGTGGTGCTGAACACACTGTGCTGTGACTCGGCGTACTTCATGAACATGTTCTGGACTGATTTCACCGTCAGGGCGCCCTCACCGGGCGTGTGGACCTGCCCGTTCTCGTTTGCGTCGACGAGTCGCTGGTAGAGATTGAGGGCGTTGCTCTGGGCGAGTTCTGATTGGCTGCTGATGAGGAGGATGTGAAGCTCACTTGGGAAGACAAATGGAAGAGGGTTCTTGGATTGGTCTGTTTGATGGCTCATCTCGGAGAGGATATGTTTCACAGATCCTGGTCCTATCCCTGGGTTACCATCTGTAACTAATACCACCTAACAAAAACAAAAACAAAAAAAAACATAAAATGACAAATTGAGATTGCAAAATATATGATCTCTAACATAGCGTAGAGCTCTTCAAAGCAAAGCTTCCAGGCCCATTCCAAGTCTTCCTTTGAAAGAACAACATATGATATAAATTCTGAAAATGTAAAGACATAAAGTGCACTTCTAATTTCTGTATCTTATAAGACACAATTAAGAGAATACACATTGAGGCACATATTGTGCGCAGCTATCTTTTCACCTTAACTGGATATAGCCATTCATTCAAACTTAAACTAGTTTTTACTTTGCTGGCTGCAGTTGTATTAAGGTGGGTAAACACATGATACATGTAGTTGAAAGAGACTTAACAGAAGATTTTACCAACCCTGACTGGTGTATTGGAGCCCCATTCTTCCATCACATAGTTACTCATGTTAAGCAGCACACTGTCTAGGAGTGTCTTGTCATACGTATCCATTGACTGAACAGCTTTCTAAAGAAATGAGAACAAACAGAAGGAAGAAAACAAAGGCGTTGAGCACATGCATTCTTCAAATATTACCTGGAAAAAAATTGTAAGAAAAATACATCTAAGTGAACCACTGTCATCTCCTTGTGGAACCTACATGTAGCAATCGCAGTGAACACTGATGATGATGATGAATGATGATGCTGATGATGACAGTGATGATGACAGTGATGGTGATGATGATGATTATGATGATGATGCTGCTGATGGTGATGGTGATGATGATGATGATAGTGATGATGATGATGATGATGATGACAGTGATGATGACAGTGATGATGATAATGATGGTGATGATGATGATGATGATTATGATGATGATGATGCTGATGGTGATGGTGATGATGATGATGATGATAGTGATGATGATGATGATGATAATAATAATAATGATAATGGTTGGTTCTGATATAGTGCTCATGTCTGTCAGACTTGACACTCCTGGCGCTCTACAATTATTATATTCACAATCACCATAATACATTTAATTCAAATACACTAGTTATTGATTATCAAATTAATCATTATTAATATTATTATTTTAGCAATCATGCCATCAGGAAGGTACTAAGCAGGGCTTACTGTTTTTAAAAGCAATCCAACCTTTAAGTTGAATAGAGGAAAATCAGATCAGTCAGATATAAACAAATCACAAACAATGAAAATACAGTGAAAGACCACTCTCAGGACACATGCAAAGAAGTCTTTACAGGCAGGTGGTCTTTATGTACAGGTTCATTTATTGAATGTTTTAATGACAAGCCTTATTCAAGGAAAATGTGGTCTTTATAGGCAGGTGATTGCCAAAGCATGTTTCACTGTAGTAAGAAAAATTACGACTGTTTGAAACTTGAGATCAAGTCAAGGTTGAAAGGCATTGTTTAACAATGTTAAATCTGAGTTGCATGGCCCTACATGTTATCAGTGTCTGTGGTATGGTGTAATATTGAAGCCCTAAGAAAAATTGCGCTTCAAAATGATGATGAAGTACCTCAAAAAAGTAAAAGTCTGTGAGTGACCAGTTTTCCCCAATAGACTGTAGTGTTATAAAAACCATTAGGAAAAACAGAAAAAGGAAATTTCGATTTGCAATCATGACTATCTTGATAATTAGACACAAGATCGGCTTTTAAAAGTCATGGGATTCCTGACTGACCTAAAGATTACGATTGCAGCATGAGCTCAATCCAGGATTTTGTTTCAGAATCTGAGCCGGCAATGTTACTTTAATAAAAGAGCTGAATAAGATGCAGACTTGCAATATACATGATAACACAGCTCCAGACTAACCATGCATGTACTAAACTTTATCTCTTCCTAATGATCCCCAAAGCAAGAGATTGCGGAATAGATTCATTCCTAATATAACAATCTGAATATTCATGAACCTGGTCAGGCCTTATCTACACCAAGGGGGACCCAAGCACTGACGTCAAACAACAAATCAAATTCAAAGTAGGCTACTCCTTTCAAATTAAATTCGATAGGAATTAGGATTTTGGAAGGCATATATCAAACCTTATTACGCAGTCATCAGATGGATGAACATATATGTCTCTCAAGGGTAGAACTGTTCAACAGTTAGAATCAAGCACTATTAAAGGCTTAGTCCCATGTATCTTAAAATGATGGATCTTTGTATAATCACAGGTACTATTCAAGATTGATTTGGTTATCCATCCAGATTAATTAGAAAATTAAGATAAGCCCCAAACATAAATAATTGGGTACTGTAAATTCTTCACGATGTCATAGGGTGAATTTGTATTTCGCTTCAAAGTGCATTCGATAGATGCAGTTACAACAAAAACATAGAAGGGAAAATTTCTATTTTACCACAGTAAATAATGAAATTCCCTGTGTGTTATCATTCTATCTCTCAAGCAGTTTGTTGTAATACCAGACTCGTATTTTACAACACAAAAATAGTTCTTATTGGAAATGTGACATCAGGATTTGCTTGACACAAACAAACAATGCAACAAAAGAATATTAGGGAATATGAAATATATCACCGGATTGATTGGCAACAACTGGGGATAACTTAACTACTGTATAAGCAAAACACATAGCACAATTTTTGTAACAAATATCTACCCTTACAAAAACGCAATGTACAAATCAATGGAAGGATGTATGCTTGATGAGAATATATGAAAATATGTACAAGAACATCAAAATACAATAAAATAAAGAATAGGCTAAGTGTATATTAAGTTTTTGTTTTGTTCACTATCATCCATCCTAATTTTTTTTCTTCTTTTTATTCCCTTCATGGGATTACCACATCAAGAGAAAAAAAAATTGTCTGTTTAAAGGCAGAATGGCATTATCTAACAGGTTTACATAGAGTTAATGCCCTTCTGGCTCTGAACAGATGATGAGACTTGTCCTTCATAGATAATGCTCTTTGATATGAATGAAATCCTTGATGGATCAAAGACTTCCTCATTTGGATAAGTTTTCATCAATCATTTAAAAAATATCCTATATATTTTTCATAAATATTTGTTGTCATTTGCTTATTTATTTTGTTATTTATTGTTGCATTAGTGTTGTTTATATATTCAAATTGTTATGATTGTACAAAACTGTAAAGCGCATAGAGAAATTTACAATTTATTATGCGCTTCATAAATATACTCTATTATTATTATTATTAAATCTGGCAATCAAATTGTTCCACAGACTAGGAATAAATTGAAAGATTAGGATATTAGAATAGGTGGCAGAGATGTGAGAGGTGAGTCATACAACAGCAAGGAAGCAGACTAATGGACTAAATAGACCTCAAGTAGACGTCACATGGATGTGTATCACATGGTGCTACTGATGATTTACTGACAGTGGTGCAGGCACTACTGTTATGCTACAGAACAATTTCAAATCACCTTTCTCCTCATAATTAATCCAATAAGAGATTCACTAATCAGTTTAGTACGGTAGTGCTATTAACTTTTCATTCAAGTGAAGCTTTGCAAAAGACAGGGCTTTATGCTAAAACTTTCCTTCACAGGGGGCCAAGATTATATTTTTGCATCTTAGGGGTCTGAAGTTAAATGTTGGACGTCTGGAGTCGAGTTTAAGGATCTGGAGTTCAAATATGCAGATCCACGTGTGTCCAACCTCTATTAAAAGTATTATTATCCAACTCTGCACAAGATAACCTTATTGTTGAAAAAATAATGACTGATAAAACCGTTAAAACAAATGTCTTACACGTGTAAAGCAGCCTTCGTATTGACTTTCAGATAAAACACAATTACTTTTCATTGATTTCTTCCTCATGGTCTTGATATTGATCTATTTCAATGCCAAAGTTAATCTACAACTCATTCATTGTTCTTGTGATGTTGACAAACGACCTTCAGCATTTCTTTTTATTCTTGTGGCACCTCGCATGCTTTTGGTAGGAAGGTTGTTAATACCTTGAATGAATACGTCATATCTTTTGGCATATAGTCAAGTGACCTGATGAGCAAACAATGAACATTTTAAGTTATTTTTCTTCAGACAGAGGTTCCTTGCTCATTTTTTACACAAGTTTGCGAGGAAAGAAAATTTAGGGGTCACTTGAGGCCTTACATCGGCCTTTTCATGGCTCGAAGTGCCCTTCATCTTTCTGTAATTTGAGGGCTACTGATAAACTGTGATCATGTTTTTGGAGAAGCATTGTGAATGATTTCAGGATATTGGTTGCAGAGGTGGCCTCCCATATAGCATTGAGTTGGACATCATGTACATTGATAATATTTTCTTTCAGCAGACCTGAAAAATGGTCCCAGTGAAATTCAATTCAAATGAGAACTAAATCATCTCTAATCTACTTAAAATCATACATGTACCAGGGTAAGAGGGCAACCACAAGAGTAACATTCAGACAATGGAGTTAAATGGACATTGGTAAGTATATAGGAAGCCCGTATCATCTCAACATCAAGAGCCAGTAGTATGCATATTTCAACAAAGAGTTAATGCCCTTCTAGCTCTTAAACATACAATATGATTTATAAAGACAACAGAATAAACGTTAAAAGTACATATATACATGTATCATTGAAAAGATTTTACATCTGACAATTCTATCAACGTAGGAAATTAAATTTTTTTGTGCAATATTCTCATTTTCTTAACAAAATTTTCCCAAAGGAATGCTTTGTATTGTTTGTTAGGTTTCTTTATCTCTCTCTCTCTCTCTCTCTCTCTCTCTGTTTCCTTACAAATCATAACATTTGTTATGAATCTGAATGGGGTATCAAATATTGCATATTTTAATTAAACCGTCGAAGAGATTTACCTTCAATTCATTGAGGTCCCTGGTGAAAGGCACTAGAACCTCGTACAACGACGAATATGCAACAAGCGCGCCAAACTCCATGCGATCGTTGGCTGCGATGTAGTCAAACATAGAACACAAACATGTCTGCGCTACAGAGCGCCTCGTCTCTGTGGTTGCTGGGTCAAGGGTTGCTGATGAGGTCGCGAGAGGTCGCATCATGGATAGCGACGCATCTAAAATCACTAACGTTGGCATGGTTGTCTCCTGCTAGTTCTGTTTGAAAAATGTAAGAATAAAGAATACACTTTTTTACTAATGATATTAGGAAAGAAGTCGCAATATCACTTCTTTGCTTGAATTCATGATAATCTAACGATAAAGGTAAACCTTTTTTAAGAACAAAAAACACAACTGTGTTTTAATGAGCTGAGCAATAAAAAGAGCAAGAATAAATGAACACCTGCAAGTTACAAAGTCCTCGTGCAAACTTCTACTAGAAGAAAAACTAGATGGAATTTTGACTGCTCGCAGTCGAAAATGATGCCTCCGCCATAGAGCAACTTAAACAAGTTTGGAGTTTAAATCTCCAGTGGTTCTTGAGATATCATGATAACAATCTCAATGTATGGAATTTCATGTTGACCTCTGTGACCCTTGACCTTTGACCTACATGCTCCAAAATCTAATCAGATTGTCTTCCTATGGTGATACACACTATCATTAAGTTTGAAGTTTAAATCTCCAGTGGTTCTTGAGATATTATGATAACAATCTCAATGTATGGAATTTCATAAGTTGACCTCTGTGACCCTTGACCTTTGACCTACGTGCTCCAAAATCTAGTCAGATCGTCTTCCTATGGTGATACATACTATCCTTAATTTTCAAGTTTTTACATCTCCAGTGGTTCTTGAGATATCATGATAACAATCTCAATGTATGGAATTTCATAAGTTGACCTCTATGACCCTTGACCTTTGACCTACATGCTCCAAAATGTAATCAGATTGTTTTCCTATAGTGATACACCCTATCACTAAGTTTGAAGTTTAAATCTCCAGTGGTTCTTGAGATATCATGATAACAATCTCAATGTATGGAATTTCATAAGTTGACCTCTGTGACCCTTGACCTTTGACATACGTGCTCCAAAATCTAATCAGATCGTCTTCCTATGGTGATACATACTATCCTTAAGTTTGAAGTTTAAATCTCAAATGGTTCTTGAGATATCGCGCTAACAAACTCAATACAAGGAATTTCATAAGTTGACCTCTGTGACCTGTGACCTTTGACCTACGTACTCCAAAATCTAATCAGATCGTCTTCCTATGGTGATAAATACTATTCTCGAGTCTTAAGTTTAAATCTTAAATGGTTCTTGAGATATTGTGATAACGGTCAAACGGGACGGACGGACGGACGGACGGACGGACGGACGGACGTACGGACGGACGGACGTACGGACGGACGGACGTACGGACGGACAACCCGAAAACATGATGCCTCCGGCACCACCTTCGGTGGCGGAGGCATAAAAATTGCATTCACTTTGCGATTTTCCTCACTACCGTCACTTCGTGAAAACAGCTACGAAATGTCTTAATCTTTATGACCTACAAAATGTTATTCATCATTTTTTACATCTTTTTTATGTCTTCAAGTATAACATATGTGTACAGACTACAGACGTCACAGTATTAGATTTTTTTTTTTAAATTGTTCTTTTGTTAAGAATGACCTGACTTTATCAGGGTAAGGTATAATCCAACTAAGAAATGAACTAAAATAAAGCTTTCACTGTAATTGTAAAGTAATCCATGCATTAGAACACATCCTGCTGGCTGGTGCAGCCATATGAAGTAAACTTCATAAATTGCTTTCTTGAGGGCAGCAGACAACATAATCTTTCTTAATTCTGTACTACCCAATCAATTTCAATTCATGAATTCACAGAAATGTACAAAGCACTCAATCTTTCACAGATTCTCTTTGTCTCAATTAACAATGGAAATACCCGGTATGAGAAAGGCCACACTAAAATATTTATAAATTCTCATAAAATAATAATTCATCTAGCATCATCGTTGAAGCTGAAATATACAAAAGCAGACTGAAGTCCCATCTGAATCCAAGGCAAAGGCTAATGCACTTTATAATTAATTTGACCATATTACAATTATCCCCATTTGTTTTATATTATGTAGGTCGACACAAGGATTTTGTCTACGTCAATACGAAAATTGTATAGTCATGATCTTGAATTGAGAGTGAAAAGAAAGGCTGTAAACATGAGAAATCTTATGCAAATCGTGGCTGTTCACTTGAAGGTAATAATCTTTGTTGAGAGGCAGGAGGTGTTAACTCTAAGTGTATCAAAATTCAATCAATTCAATAAACTTCTACCCCTATCAGTATAAAGCCTATCATATATTCCTCTAATAATCTCCAAGTAATATTACAATAGATAACAATAGATTATGACTAATAAGATGGCTTCCTTTAATCAATTTAAGGACCATTTTAGTTTTTATGCTTTCACCTCTTGGTCATAACTGCCTTCATAGAGAACCTTTACTCACGTCATTGGAAACATTATTAGATCATCCCTTGTCAAATATTATAATCATAAACATAAATATCATGTGGAACATCTGACCTGTATAAAACGTTTCACATATATTCCTCTAATAATCTCCAAGTAATATTACAATAGATAACAATAGATTATGACTAATAAGATGGCTTCCCTTAATCAATTTAAGTTTTATTTTTTAGTTTTTATGCTTTCATCTCTTGGTCATAACTGCCTTCATAGAGAACCTTTACTCACGTCATTGGAAACATTATTAGATCACCCCTTGTCAAATATTATAATCATAGACATAAATATCATGTGGAACATCTGACCTGTATAAAACTAAAAAGATGAAAGTCATTCTTCCACTGTTGAGCACAGGAATAGCTCAATCATGAGACCCTATACATTGATGAGTAAGAAACCTCAGTCAAACTTTTCACCCTAAGGCTCCGTTCATACACGACACATTAAACCGGAGCGAAATAAAGCCATTTTACATGTATGTGTGAATGAGTGGGTAGTAGGGGTGAAAAAAGAAATTAGCTGCATGCAACGAAGTATACTCACTTATATGTATGATATAAGATACAGAAAGTAAAGAGAACTACCCCTATATCAGTCTATTTTGGCTGCAGCGTTTCTTTATTTGGGCGATTTACCAAGTCACGTGTAAACGAGCCTTAACCGACGCAACATGTGGCTAAACATAACCATGGCACCCTGGCAAAGGGGAGTTACACTGACGTCTATAAACGCCTCAATCACTGCCCAAAACTGACATCATTTCCACATCCCACGTACGTCATATCACCCTCCATTCATCCGGGTTCCATAACGCAAACACACCGTCTAGTCTGCTCATGCAGGAATGAATTTATCGGTTCATAAACGGGTTTACAATGCTACGCCACGGATCGAGGAAGTGTCTTGGAGTGATAATTGCGTCGATTGGGAACAGAAAGGAAGCGATAGGCCTTTTTCCTGTGTTTCAATGCAGAGTTTTTGCAGCTGTTTGGAAAGTACAGTCGTTAATATTTCTTAGTATATGTGCCTGATGACGTCAAACTTCGACCAACAAGTTACAAGGTAATTTCCAAATTTTGCTATGTATACTTTATCATTAATATCTCATATCTTTAATATTTCATAATTGCTTTCATGAATAACACTCTTAACTATATCTTTACTGAGGTTTTTATCATTATTCATTCTAAACACCCCAGTAATATAGAATAAGCATGATTTTTAAGAATAATAGTAGTAAAAAAAGAAAAGAAAACGGTCTTCATATTTATAGTGTTCACAAATATGATCTTGGGATGTTGTACTGTACATTTTGAAAGAGCATATTTGCTAACAATTTACAATGAAATGAGTTTTTATTTCCCCCCCCCCCCCCCCCCCCATATTTAGAATAAGAGTACAAGCTGTCAAACTTGTACCGTAGTTGAGTTTACAATCTCTATAAAAAAAAAATTAAAAATCATAGCACAGACCATTCTTGGTTTGCCTTTTGTAGACTAATGGCTTGATCATGTACGTAACTGTATCACATCACAAGCAGCTCCCACCCCCCCCCCCCCACACTCCTCTCTCTCTCTCTCTCTTTATCTCTCTCTTTATCTTTCTCTCTCTCTCTCTCTCTCTTTTTCTCTCTCTCTCTCTTTATCTCTCTCTCTCTCTCTCTCTCCCTCTTACCAAATCATGTACATGTATTGACACACTCCCCAAAATTGATGATTTCCCCTCGCCAGATCCTGTAGGTCAGAAAAATATGTAATTTGGGGAAAGAGAAAGTCAGACGATTCATGGGGCTTCCTTTTTAGATTCAAAGTGGGTCGAGGGCTAGGCTGTACCTTATCTTCCATAACCACATGTGCGTTTCATGAATATCTAGAGAGAGAGAGACAGAGAGAGACAGAGACAGAGAGGACAGAGAAGAGAGAAAGGACAGAGAAGAGAGAGGGAGAGGAGAAAGAGAGGGACAAAAAGAGAGGGAGGGAAAGAGGAGACAAAGAAGGAGAGAAAGAGAAAGAGAAAGAAGAGAGAAAAAAAGAGGGAGAGAGAGAACGAGTGAGAAAGAAAGAGAAAGAGAGTGGAGAGTGAGAGTGACAAAAAGAGAGAGAGAGAGAGAGAGAGAGAGTGGAGAGTGAGGGTGACAAAGAGAGAGAGGAGAGAAGGGGAAGGGGGAACCAGTGGTCACTAATTAACAAATGATTAATCACAGCCACTTCTTCCTCCTTCATCAGGCAGCACACAATCAGATCTTTCGATTATTGAATAACCTCACAATACCCCCAATGTAGCACTTGGCCAGCTCTCAAAATGCCTTTTTTTCAAATCCTGGAACTTATCGCAAAACCATGATCAGAAAACCCTCTCGCCTAGCTTCGATGACTTTATGCGTTCCTGCTTCTCTGTTGCTTAAAATATCAAAGTTCATTCTTCAAGGTGCAACTCATCCTCAGCAAGGGAGTGTTCAAACTTTTTATGGACAGAAATGACTCTACGCTCCGGTTGCCAGCAAGTGACATGGTAATGTTCATTTGACAACTTCATCAAGCCTTATTCTGGATTAAACAGTTGTTTGAAAATAGTTTTGATTCTATCAAAGGAGTAATTGTGAAGTCTAAACTCTCGCATCAAAATCATCTGGTAAGTTTACAGTTTATTTAGGAATGGCAAAAGAGACAATTCTCTGTTTTCATGAAGTGACGGTAGTGAAAAAAAATTGCATTCACTTTGCGTTACGATTTTCCTCACTACCGTCACTTCGTGAAAACAAGGACGATTTGTGTGCATATGATGCAAGATTCATTAATTCTGAATATCTTTGCCAATCATTCATAACATTTCTTGATTCAAAAATGAAATTTGAAACATGTAACTTTAAATTATTCCTAGGGAAGTAGTTCCATGTAAAAATGATACCTCTTCTATTTTTCACGGATGAAACTTAGTGTTCCAATCACCAAAACATGTTTTACTCTTTATGTAAGGGGTTCCATGTGACTCTACTGTATTCAAAATATGAACTTCAAGTATTACTTCTACAAAGAGATATTGCAATTTAAATACATACATGTACTGAATGAACAGTACAAACGTCTTGTTGAGTTGACTAGTTCGGCTAGTTTAGCACTTAACTTGGAATTTTATGCTTTCCTATATTTTCTTCATACTCCTTAACCGATTTACCTACATAATGCAGGTACATGTAAATTTTTGTTGATTTGATACATTTTAGCCATACACAAATTATTTTTTGAGGTGCTTGGTACCCTTTAAACGCATTTCCAAACTCATCTTCAAACTTCCTTGCACGTGGGACTTCATACTCTGTGTCATATATTCCTGGAACAAGCTAATTATTACTCATCTGCTAATGATGATTTATTTTGTCTACTTGTTGGGTTCACAATAGCATGTGATCCTTACTGGCATTGTATCCAATGTATTACAAGTACATAAAGAAGTATGTGTGGCAGCCCGAGGTCTGTGAGACAATTTGATTTAATTTAAAGTAGGAAACAAGAAAAAATAAACCATGTGGTTACCTCTTTTTCTTTTTCTTTTTCTAGACATATATTACAATCTCAAAATTTTGCTAATATTACTTGCAAATCGCCTATCACAGGTATTATGTAATTTTGGAAATGTTTCTGTCCTGCCTAACAAATCAATTAAGAACCTCATTGTACATGCACATATCATTTCTTACTATTAATTATATTACAGAAGAAGTTAGCAATATATGTGTTAGTACTGCTGAAAAAGCCTGGAATAGAATGTGTAAATTGAATGAATTTGATCAAAATCATGTAGCTAACCATCAAATGAAATGTAATACCTTAATCCAAACCAAATCCATAGATTAATATCATGTATCACTCAGGTGACATGTTTAAAGGGCAGTCCAACCCTTGTAGTAAGTTAATTTATATGAAAACAGAAAATAAGTTCAACAGAACGGTGAAAGTTTGAAATAAATCAGACCTATGATAAGAGAATTATGAATGTTTGAAATACAAGATCACTAAATAAGTGCAAACCTCAAATTGGCAATTAGGTCCGTAGATTGTGACATTGTTTGTTGCGTACAAAAATATCCCTACCGGTAATTTCACCCAAGTTTCTTCTGTCTTTGGGCACTTTTCAAAATATGACTCCTGAGTCATACATTTTTTTTTAAATTGACATTTTAGTCATTTTATGAATATAAGTTTGGAACAAATGGGAAAGTTGTAAGCCACTAGTCCACTAAATCACTCAGACATTACTGATACAGCCAATTCAAAGAGCCCATACCTATAGTGATTGCAACATTAACAAATTCATAACTTTCTCATTTTTTGTCCAAATTCATACAAACTTTCACCAGTCTGCTTCTCTGATTATTCTGCTTTCTTGTAGTTTGCTATCAAGGTTGGATTTCCCTTTTATGACACAATTTCTGATTCTTGGTATATTCACCACAGACTGTACATTGAGCGGAATTTCAGATTAGTCAGACTCACTCTACTCACTCACTACCAGCGCTTGCTTTGTCTGGATTGCATTTTCTTTTCATTCAACCATATGGTTTGTCCTGATAAGCTCCATGATTATAGCTTTCTCTACCAAATCTCAAAAGATTATTTGATGGAATCTTTATGGTCGTAAGAATAAGAGAATATCTGCAATGATTAAGTGTGACTGTAGTATCATCAGAAACTTTGATTTTCACCTTCCACAGATGAGCGACAGAGAGATCCATTTATTCACAGTGATTATCACTGTACACTGATATAACACTCATTCTATGGCAACAGACTGTGACAAATTTAGAGAGTTGTTTGTGAAAGTGGCCGCCCCACAACTAGGTGTGTTAGTCATCAGTAATAAGGCCTTGTTCAGGTACAGGTACATGAATGACGCAGCAAAACCACAGCATTGTTTTTTTTTAACGATGACGTAAAACGTGATACACTTTACTTTTCTCTATCTTCTTACACAGAGCACAGTGAATAAGCACAAGTCCTATGTTGAGCGCAGTTGCCATCCATTTACATTTTTTTAAACACAGGGGTTTACCGTGCTATATCTGTATGTACACAAGTAAATTATGAGCCTTCTCCCCCCCCCCCCCCCCCCCCCGAAAAAAAAAAGAAAAAAAAAATTATTTATGGGACTAATGGGAGAGAACCTACGTAGGACTGTTATGCAAATTCAGTGCTGTGCTACTTCAAAATGGACAACAAAGTCAGAGGAAACATGTTTTAAATTAATTACATTTCTAGTTTACTTTAATTTGTTTCCAAGTTGAAAATGACATTTTAAAAGATACCTCTTCCAATGTGTGATCGATCTATTCTGGACCAATCCATGCTAATACACACAAAACCTGTAGGAACCAATTCTACACATAAATCAAGACCATGGTACAAGGCTATTTATTTCTAATAACCTTGTTACATGTATAAGTGCCATGATATTAAAATAGAAGATTTATATTCATCCATAAGATGTTAAAAATACTATGTATTTGCCAAAGAATGCCAATTTTTCAGCTGTCTGAGAAGTGTCGATAAACCACCAGGTAAGCACTCGTAGCAGCATTACCAGGCGCGTACGCAGAGGGAGGGGGCTTTGAGGGGTTGAACCCCCCCCCCCCCCTCTTTAAATTGTTTTATGTGTGTGTTTTGGTTTTGGAGGAAACCCCCCCCCCCCCCATGTTTGTTTGTTTTTAATTTTTAAAAACAATAATTAAAAATAAAGAAATTGTAATGGATGACCCCAAAATGCTGATCTCCCCCCCCCCCCCCCCCCCCCCCAACGAAACGAAATATCAATCGGCCCAATTTTCAAATTTTGGGATACAGAAAGAAAAAAAATGTACTCTTGGTCCCCATTTAGTTTTTCTGCGGCTAATATTTTAATGGCTAATATTTTAATGGCTAATTGTTCTTAAGCTATCGCTTGAAGAAAAAAAAATGCTACCGCAACAAATATCAGCAGGTATTTCTTTGCTTTGGGACATGAATTGGACCTCGGATTATACTTGGAAATATCAGAAGCGACCAATTAAAGGCAAGATCGTAATTTGTTATGGTTAAATTTGTGATTAAAAGTATTTCAAATATTTAATTTTCTCTCATTTGAATTTGTGCTGTACATGCAATAGATCTATACCTTTTCCCAATGCACTGCAAGGCACTAGTGGTCAATATGCATTCCAACCACTACTACAGGAAGTCTTAGCTGGTGTGCAAATAAGCTTGTACATAGTACATACATACGTGAGGGCATACAAACTTCTCCTTTTTCCTCCTCCCCCTCCTTCTCCTCCTCCTTCTTTTTTTTTTTTTTTTTCTTTTTCCAGTTCTAGTCTACTTCAAATTCAGCTACTGAACGACCAAAACAAATTGACTGCCAAAAACTTGGTGTCTATGGCGTTTTGCCTCGTGAAAAATGTACTGGTCTTTAGAACTCATTACGTATGTGCGACATTGTAAGGTATGGATCAAGTTTTTTATAACCGCATTTGTGTACCTTCACATCGATTCGACTTTACATGGAGACTCAGCGCTTGCAGCGGACAAAAAATACGAAGTGGCTCTTTGCCAATAGATTGTGCATTTAAATGTATTTTTTTCAACATCGTTATCAGTTGATTGAATGTCATAGGCTATTGTTTCATCTATTGTCACTAAAGTGCTGATTTTTAGTGAATTCTGGTGATTTTTGTACAGTTGTGTTTGATTTTTTTTAGAATCAATGACAATTAATAAAGGGTGTCTTAAAAACATTTGCTACACACAAAGTATACTATAGACGCAAAGATACAGTCTCTGATATCGACAGTTGTTCCGCTTAGACTGCTTCTAGGTCCGACGAAGGGGTGCGCCCGCATGCGTGAAGTTAGCGACCGTTGTAATGATCATCATCGTCATAATGTGAATTACTTACACAAATTTAATGAGGATCTGAGATTACAGTCGCTAACTTCATGCACGCGCCCCCGCCACCTCCTTCATCGGTTCATTATGCAATTGAATTGTAATTGTGCAGCTGTTTGCCATAAAAAACCTGTGAGACAGTGTATATTAATGTCTTGTTTTTAGGAAAAATACTCCAAAAAAGATAAGAAAATTGACACAAAAGGGGTAAGAAACATAACGTCTTTGAAATCATTATTTGAACATTTGAGGAAAATTTAGTTGATTTTGGGGTATGTTTTAGTAGGGTTGTAGTATGTTTTAGTTACTCCATGCTGGAGTAACAGGTCAAAGTCTGGATATGAAAGTATGACAATACAATATAGATCTAGACCTATCTGAATATCTAGGCCTAGCCACTCCAGCAAAGCACAGAGAGTCAATGCTAATGCGTATTGACCTCTAGCACTGCATACTTGCTGTGAGGCAGGTATTATTAGACCTATACACAAATATACACACCACACAATATTGCATAGACTGCATACAATCATGCTGATGCAGCTGTAAGCAAAGTTTGACAGTAGACTTACAATTTGAATTTTTAAATTATTCTTTTTAACATCAGTAGACTATGTTGAAAAAAGTGTATTTTACTGCTATTTAGGTGTCATCAATTGTCACTAAAGTACCGATTTTTAGTGAAATCAGTTGAGTTTTGTACAGTGGTGTTTGAAATGTTGAGAATCCAGAGACGCCAAGTTCAAAGATCCGCAATGCGTGACATTTTCATGATTCGGCGTGTAAGCACGTATAAGGTATAGGCCTAGCGGTTTTTTTTAATCTAGCGCGCGCAACGTGCGTGAGAGCCCTTTCAGACCCTCAAAATGCGTGACACTTGGTAGCTCTGAGAATCGAAAGCACAGCTTTTACTACACCGCCAGGATAGTGATGCGGTATGTATGGGCCTAGCGCCGAAAGTTTTTCACCAGATTCCGGCGAAAATCGCTACTTTTTTCCCCCCTCACCCTTGGCCTTGTGTAATTGTGCGAGCTGTAAATGGGGAAGGGGCGCTAGTGTAGTTCCGTATCCATTTTTTAGCAGTTTAATATCCATTCTTAGCACATGAATTTTAGCCCAATTTTTGACTAAGCCTAGATCTAATTTTGATCATAATCATATATTGCATTTTTCACCTGAATTTGGATCACATCCGACATCGGGAAACCTTCGTTTAGGGCTTTGATGTCGACGTCGTCGCTTAGTACCGTCTCTACGCTGCAGTCCTGCACCTCAAACTGAAGCTATCAGTACATTATGCAGACTTCTCGTATGGTTTATGGTATCGCGCATACAAGAAGTCTGCATAATTTTGGACTGATAGCTTCAGTTTGAGGTGCAGGGGGCCGTTTCTCGAAACCGTCATAACTACAAGATCAACGACATCTCGCCACTGTCACGCAACTTGTCAGCTAAGTGTTTCACGAAGCCGTCTTTGCCAAGATGAGCGACAACTTCCGCGACAAGCAAATTGTCACTGCTCCGAACCTGTCATATCTTTTTAATTGCTGTAAAGCGCCATCACAAGTCAGTTTGTTGCCCTTCCATGGGCCGCGAAATGGACGATTAGTTTCACTATCATTTTGAGAAAAATATAGACGAGTTCGGTACGTAATTCTCTGGGATGCGAAATGCAAATGTACAAAAGTGAGAATACAAATTATACAGAAACTTTAAAAAGCTGAATATAAACATTAAATCACAAATCATTATACTATAACATATAAATAAGAGAGGTAAGAATGTTACACACCGTTTTCCATAGTCGATTCATAGTCTTTTCTTAGGATACCGTCATACCTTTGGGGCCTATGTGCATTATTATTCCCTCTCTAATTACTTCTTCGAAATTATATTTTCAATATCAAATCAATTATATAGCGAGTATTTATGAGACTCTGGAATAAAAACTGGCTGAGAAAAGACATTTTGCCTAAAATTTCTCATCACAATAAACAAAAAAGTATGTATTGATAAACTATCACATTACGGTATCCTTCAACTACTTTTGATTCGACTGTCAAAAAAAAAAACACTCACCGGTTTTTCTTCAATTTAAGAATCTTTACAGCAATTTGCAAATCGTTTGATGATGTAAATATGATAATGACACTATTTATTATTTATTTTAGGAGAATTTATATGTATATTTTTCTTTTTGAACAATTTTAGCCCCAAAACTTGTTTTGGGTTATTCTTCATAAATCAAATGGATCGTGACAAAGATTATCTTCTTGAGCTGCTAGTATCGCGATATATCGAAATCATGTCTGTCATGGCTTTGTGAAACGGTTTATCGCTTCATGACATCTCCATAGGTAGACCGAATTTTTCTGTCTCTTTCGTTCGTTAGCCTCTGATTTGGGTAGGTCGGCTCTCTCTTTAGAGACGGAACAGCCCCATACGCTGTAGTGGCCGCGCGTTTGTACTAAGAAACGTTACACAAAACTTGGCCAAACTTAATCCCTAATTTTGATATTTTACCGGATGCGTATCCGATGCATTTAAAGTCCTAAATTAGCTAAATACATAACTACTTCGGTTCCACTTACCAACTTGACTGGAATAATCCGTTTAATGGTCCATTTTTAGGAAATTATGGGTCAAGATCGACATCCATGAAGAAAATCTTGCAGCCGAGTCTCATTCTTTCTAGTCTACGCCGAAGGCAAAATGATTATAACGGAAAAACTGTGCACGAGCTACGAGTTCGTAATGACATGGACAGTTTTTCCGTTATAATCATTTTGCCTTCGGCGTAGACTAGAAAGAATGAGACTCGGCTGCAAGATTTTCTTCATGGATGTCGATCTTGATTCATAATTTCCTAAAAATGGACCATTAAACGGATTATTCCAGTCAAGTTGGTAAGTGGAACCGAAGAAGTTAAGTATTTAGCTAATTTAGGACTTTAAATGCATCGGATACGCATCCGGTAAAATATCAAAATTAGGGATTAAGTTTGGCCAAGTTTTGTGTAACGTTTCTTAGTACAAACGCGCGGCCACTACAGCGTATGGGGCTGTTCTGTCTCTAAAGAGAGAGCCGACCTACCCAAATCAGAGGCTAACGAACGAAAGAGACAGAAAAATTCGGTCTACTCCATAGGTCGCCGACAAAGATACGACTGTCATGGAGTTGGTTTCGAGAAACAGCCCCCAGGACTACAGCGTCGTCGGAGACGGTACTGAGCGACGACGCCGACATCGAAGCCTTAAACGAAGGTTTCCCGATGTCGAATGTGATCCAAATTCAGATGGAAAATGCAATAGACTAGGGTCTTGATCTAACTAGTAACTGTTAAAATTGGGCTAAAATTCCTTTGCTAAGATTTAAGAATGGATTTTTAAGCTGCTAAAAAAAATGGATACGGAACTACACTAGCGCCTGAGGAAGGTTGAACAATTTTATGAAAGAATTCCCCATACCAGATGTTTTTTCTGTTTGAGTATAATAATGGTATTGCTTCTACGAGTATGAGTAAGAGTGTCGGAGTCAGACTTGAGCATGTAATGTGTAAACATACATAGGCCTACGCAAAAACAAGTACACGGGACCGAGCAGTAAAACTAACGCAACAAATACCATCGGAATGAACAAAATAGTTAATCGTTTCAAGTAATACAAAAAATGGGGCCAGGTTTTTACATTACCTCTTTCTCATGTAGAAAAGTTGAAAGCAAAACTAACACCGTTCTAGCTGAGTTCCTATATGTTTTGGGGGACGAACAGATCTTCGAATATTTTCTCGCTCTCTTGCAGTCGACATGGCATAGACCGCGCATGCGCAAAATGCGAGAAAATTGATAATTCAGAACTAAAAGTATATTTATGACAAAATACTTATTTTCTCCGTATTTTCTATGTGCCGTTTCTTCTGCAGGAATATAGCATCAAGCTCTTGCCCTCTTGTTTACTTTTCCAAAAACTAAAAATAACGACGAAACACAAATTTGTCAAAAGATAAAAGGCAAGTCATGAATGTATGTGTAGGCCTAGTGACTTGGCCTACAAGATTCTGATTGGTCAAAAGTCAACTGCATAACCATGGGCCCTTGGGGCGGGTCTGGGACCCCCCCCCCCCCCCCCCCCCTGATACACAGTTGCACTCGCTTAGCTTGAATAGCTTTATGTGGATTGGGGAATTAGGTTAGGGAAGCATTGCTTGAAATATGTCAATTTTACAAGATGTTTAATTTATTCAAAGCTGTGTAAAGAATTGCAAACCACATAATATCTACAGCGGGTGTTGGCATAAAGTATACATATTTTAGTGTCAGCATATTGCATTCAAATGAGGATCTAAGTATATTCTTTAAACTCAAACATCTTATTTATACAAATTCATATATATAAACATGTATATAACACACACACAAATTGAGACCTCATTCAAACGAGGATTGTTATTTTTTCATCTTCAGTCGACCAATATTATCATCATCATCATCATCATCATCATCATCATCATCATCATCATCATCATCATTATCACCATCTTCATCATAATCATCATCACCTTCACTTTCTTAATTTTTCTTTTGATAACTATCACAACTGATCAGCCAAGCGACAAGGGCACCTTCAATGAGTATATTATATCATGTAAAGTGAAAATATTCTTATAGAGCAGAAAATAAGAATAGACTGACAGCTGTAAAATCAATATCTACAATGTATATGTTGACAGATTTTGAAAGCATAAAGACGAAGCAACCTTTTGTTTGATTTCGCCAAAGGTCATGATGATCATGAGGTTGGCACATGAGCAATCTCCGTATTTCCTGTAGTCTCAAAAAAAAAGGACTGGAAATGAAGGGGAAGGACGTGAAAAGGATACGAAATGATCCCTTCCAATTGGAAATTCTCACGACCTTCATCGACTACGACCCGAACGAGATATAGGCCTATCAGTGCCCCGCCCCCCCCCCCCCCCTACCCCTTTCATTTGCTGGAGACATGCACGCTTCGCCAATGAATATGTATGATAATATTATTTCATGTACACAGCAACAACATCTTTTCCGTTTTCTTCTTCGACTTATTATTCTATTCTTCTTCCTTTTACAATCATGCGCGACACGCAGACACTTACTGCCTCAGGCAATCTCATTAGTTTGATAAACTCTTTTAATTGACTCGTTTGATGAAGATTGGCGTTTCCTCATGTCGTTGCAAAGGTTGCTCATATTAATTTGGACAGTTCAGCCTCAGGTCATTTTTGTTCCAATTTATTGTCTCACCCTCTTCTCGTATATCTAAGCATTTCAGTTTTTATTCCAGTGGCAAAGCGTGGGTCCATCCGTTAAGGGGGCACTTGAATGATGGGGGCGGTCTTACTTGTAAAATAAATGCGAATTTACAAGGCTACTGATTGGGGGAGAGTTCGGCAGGTGGTCCGGGCGGCTTCTTTTCTCTTCTTTATTCCCTCCTCCCTCTCCCTTTCTCTCTTTCATTCTTTTCTGACTTTTTTCACTTCTCGATTGGGTGGGGGCGGTCCTACTTGTAAATGAAATGCGAATTTACAAGGCTACTTATTATGGAGAGGGAAAGGGAGACGGTCCAGGTATCTTTCTCTTTCTTTTTCCTCCTCCTCCCTTTCCCTTTCTCTCTTTTTTTTCACCACTCGATTAGAGGGGGGCAGCTGCCCCGTGCCCCGTGAACTGCTTTTCTTATCGGTACTGGTTCAAGTCAGGTGGTTATAAATTTCTTAAGAGAAAATACGTATCAACTAATTACTATCTTGAAAATGAACAGAAATAAATGACTAGGGAAGTAATTTTGAAAGCCTTACATTACAAATTACATTGATTCAGCCAGTGAATACAAGTGACAAAAAACGCAAAACGTACTTAGGGTGCAGCTTTAACCAAAAGGCTACAAAACAATGGAAATTACTGAGACAAAGGAGCTGACTCATTCATGGATGACGAGGGTGTGGGGGCATACTTCAACTACAGAACAGGGGGAATTCAATGTCATTCTATTCTTTTCTATTTGTCCAAGGCTACATGGGATTTTTTTACAAGTAATACAAATACAAAATTATATATAAACAACTAAAAACAGCAATAATAGCAATTTGCAACACAACAGTGATACATATACATAATAGACATTGACATAAGACATTAAAATGTCAAAATAACTCATAGCATGAGTACTAAGAAAGAGTAAGAGGGAAAAGAGGGTGAATAATGGATGAAGGACATGTAGATTGAGGTGGGGGAATAGATGGGAGTGAGTCAGACGAAGGGCAAGGATAGAAAAAGAGAGGGAAAGAGAGCGGATGCGAGGTGTAGAACATAGATGAAGGGACAGCCGTAAGAAGAAAGAGAGAATATCATGAAAGATTATAAATTCCCACTATCAAATTAGTTAACACCTTCGTATATTGAAATGAACGTGCAACAGAAAACAATGAAGAAAAGGATAATGATATGAGAAAGAACCGGGAAAGTAAGAAGGAACAGAAATGGAAATTGACTTAGTAAATTGCAAATTTGGTATTGTGTATTCCTTGTCTGTTTGTTTGCTTGCTTTTGTGCTTTTCAAACATTATTGGATTGATCTTCCCTCTGATTAAACAAAAGACATTTGTTGTTCCTTGAAACATGTGGGTACCTCACAGTTGCTGATTGTGAAACATGACCTTATTATGTTGGCATTAAAGAAGTGATATGTAAGGACATTGAAACAGGCATATGCTTTAATTAGCTTGTTTGATATGACATACCATGGCCATTGCTTGCAAATTAGGCAGGTTCTATATAGACTTGAGATTTAAAAGAGGCCTTTCCTTTAGGAAGTGGTTTTTTTCCTTCGAAATAAGAGCTTCTTAATAAAGTTACCATTCATTTCAGTAAACAGAGAAAGCACGTCGTATATAGCCGTATAGGTTCTGCTTCTAAGTTACATCTTTCGTATAATTATGTCTTTCATTTTCTTTCCCAAACCCTCAAAACAATAATACGCTAATAATGATAAACCTAATATAAACTGGTCTATTTATTTTTTTAGACAGAAATAGAGGACAAGCAAATGACAAGCTGCAGCCCACATTTTTTACGTTCACAATAATGCCATATAGCCATATTGATTAGGACAAATTGGCCAACCAGCTTAGAGTTTTGGCATGCTGTAACCAAGTTGGCCAAACTAGATCTCGCATATTAATAGGCACTCACGGTCATAACTACTGCAGCTCCCTCTTGTGTTCTACGATCTGTCTATTCTGATAGTAGTCAGTTCAATTTCGAAACATCGGTCTATTATCGGGGGCGGATCCAGGGGAGCATGGGGCGCACACCACCCCCCCCCCCTTTTTTTTTTTTACCTTGCTTTTTTGTTTTCATTCTCTTTTTTTCACCACCCGATTGGGGGCACTAGGCCCTGTAGGTACGTTTGGAATAATTTCATATTATTTTGTATGCAGTCATTGACCAAGAAAGGTTATTCAATAACCTTTTTCCATTAGTATTATTGATTCGAAGCCAAAGCAATATAATATATTTAGAGAAAATAAATTCAGTAACATGGTCTCATTAGGAATAAATAATCCTTAAACGTATCCTTACATTTAGTATATTATTGAGCTGTCTTCCGGATATTTGTTATTGCTATTTTTATTCACTTGTCTATAATTTTGTTTAAACATGAGAATAGATCTATTTCGATTATCCCCTTGTAATTACGCTTCATTTTCACTCTGTAAAAAGTCCTTTTCTCTGCTCTAATACGTGATCATTTTACGTTTCCATTTTCTTTTTCAATATTATATTATTTTAACTTTACACTTATTCCGTCACTGTATTTCAACTTTCCATTTTCAATTGAAAAATTTACTCCACATAATATTCATATCGCTAATGTAGTATTTGTAATTTTTTTGATAAAAGATTGTCAACGGTATAATGAAAGAATACACGCAATGGAAATATTCAGTTTAAATGCTCCAATGATAATAATTGCCTTGGTATTTGCATCTAACATGCAAGTGATATACAAGATTCATTGAATTTATCTGTTAATTCGAGCCGTTTTGTAACGTCTCTCTGTGTTTTTGTTGCCTGTTCCAAGTTAACATAGATGCTTTCCCCGTTAATAATGGTTACCATGGTTACAGCATGTCAGGGGAATTAGATGGGCATACCATGCAGCAAGAGAAGTTGCCATGGTAACCGTGTGTTCTATTTGACTAGATGCAAAGGGTGTTAAATTTCAAAGTGTGATGGTGACATCATAAGAGATAACGGGCAATGGTCCGGGAGGGGCTCTTGTTTATCTAATGTGGCGTAGTGCGATACAGTACTATCACAATATTTGCCCCAAAATAGTCACAAAATTGCAAGCAGAGCTAGATGCATAAGATTTGAAATTGGAATATTGGCGTAACAAGGGGGTGCCTCTGTATCTTTTGTTTCAAAAAGGGAAAGCAAAGAACACAGATTCAGATATTGTCTTAGTGGAATGCTGCTAAATTCACTTTATGAAGAACTGCTGATATACATGTACACTGTTGGTCATAATGGTGGAATAATTACTTTTACCCCAATTTATGGAATGATTTCGACAATGATTTATTCCTAATAGATCTAGATAATAGTATACATTTTCAGATTTTATTGAATAATAATTTGTGAGTGTTTGTTTTGTACGTCACTGCCCCCACAAATACAAAAAACAAAGAAAATGCAATAATTCATTACATTTTGCCCCGCCCTCCAAAATAAAAAAAATCCTGTATGTGGGCATGCCTTGAACCATAATATGCATGGCCCTACAGAGGA